CACGACCTGGATTCGAACCAGGGACTTATGCAACCACCCTGCATCGCTCTGGCCTACGAGCGCTCGTGCCTATAGATATCTTTGGAAGATATTCAAGAGAAATAGACCATGTACTTTCTGCATGGTGCGAGAACACTCTGTGAGTCACTCCGAAAGGACATAATGGTATCTTGGAAGATGGTCTCGACTATCAGGGTACGCAGACCGGCGTGGCACACCTCACTCCCTATACTGAAGAGAATGATGTTTTATTACCAAGGCCTATGGAGTAGCGAGGAATATCTCATTTAGATTGCTTCACTTGCATAGCTTTTGTCTCCGAGTCTCGTGAGAAATGTCAGCATCGTTACACCTGTGATGGACACAGTCTCCTAGAATGTTCGGAGGTTCGTCGCGATGGAAGCCGAGCTTTTGCTTCTTCTAGCCATAGATTTGAGTAAAGATAGGCTTGTCGCACGATGTTACACAGCAAAAGGTTATAGCCTCGCTTCCATCCTGTACCTGCGGACTCAAAGGACTGATAGCGTGAGCTTGTGGTTGCTGATATTCATCGCGCATCTGTTTGACGTAGGCTAATGGCAATGATTGACAAATGAAGCAAGTAAATACGTTGTCATATTCATATCAACATAGTCGCAAGTACATAACATACAGAGTATCGTTAAAAACAGAAACCAAATAGGAAAAGCCTCGCAGCTGATATCCTTTCACGGTCATATCGATTTCTTTGACGCCTGCACCTCCATATAAACCAGTCCAGCACCTGTCTCATCCAACTTAAACATCAAGCTGCGCTGATAGGAGGAGCTTGAAGAATCCATTCTCCGATAATCTTGATGGTCTTTTGCGTTTTGATCTTGGCGTCCTCGAGCAGAACCGGATCACGGACAATACCGTCCAGATGCTGATCGAAGCCATGGACCGTATCAGGAACCAAGAGCCACCGGTAGCGGCTTCCGTCAGCTCCAGACACCTCGAAGTGGTAAACTTCGTCGTCTAGCACGAGCTCGCCATCACCAACAACTTCAGGCTTTCCAACCTTTGCTGGTGGAGGCGGGCGGCCCGCAAGCCTGTGAATGAGCCTCTGACCTTCCTGGGCAAGCATGTCCAGCTCGCAGCCGATCATAAAGACCTGCTTGGGCAGAGCCTCCTTGGGCGCGAAGGTAGGACTGAGTAGCGGGTTGCGGCTGTCTTCGCCGGGAATCTTGTAAGCCCAGTCAAACACTGGTGCAATTCCTTGCAAGAAGTCTTTCTCCTTTGCACGGAAACCTCCAAGCTCAGGCTTGTACTGTCGCGTCGGGGCCTTCTCTTCTCCCGTGATGGAGAGATCAGCCGCCGGGTACAACGGCACAATGCAAGTGAGATGCTTCCGGACTGTCTCGAGTTGCGCGACAGCCAGAGTCAGGTTTCCGCCCGCAGACCAACCGGCCAGCGATACTCTGGTACGGTCCAATGGAAGCGAGTCATCATTGAGCGCGGCGAGGAAGAGCTCCTCGCAATCATGGATCGGCTTGGGGAACGGGTTACCCGGAGCTTTGGCGTAGTTGAGACCAATGACGATTGAGTGGTGCTGCGAAGCATACGTCTGATTCCAATCGTCGTTGTCGTTTGGCGTACCGAGCACGAATCCACCACCATGGATCGTGAAGAGAACCGGCAGCTTGTCTTTGGACGTTTTGTCAAAGCATTTCGGGAAGAAGACCCTGGAACGTGTCAGCGTCTGCGCCAGTGCGATGAGGATCCCTAGAAACTGGGCTGAAATGAAAGAACGCACCTCACGGGTAAGTACGGCCTGCATTCGTACGTCTTCACGATCTCTGGACGGTTCTCAGGCGGGATGACATGTGCTTTGACATCGCGAACGAAGAGTGCGGGCTTCACCAAGAGATTTTGGATCGCAAAGGCCGTAGCGCCGTATCTGACCTTCGAGAGAAGCGGCAGCTCTGGGACGCGATGCGAGTCGTCCGTGGTATTCTGATCTTCGGCCATCGTTGAAGCCAGGCGCGCGGCGACGGGTTGAGTTGAGTTGAGTTGCTTTGGGTGCTCGAGTGTTGCAGCGGATGTTGCGTTGGAAGAAACAGGCGGGGTTGGGATGAGAAGCGTCGCTGGCTGGTGGGAACCGCTCGGTAGTTGTAGTCGCATGCACCTCGGTTTCGCGTTTAGAGGGCCATAGCGAGGTTCAAGCCGAGTACGAAACAAGATACGAAACCTTGTACCATGGACAATATGATCGGATAATAGGTGCTCGGAGAGGTCATGTCTTTATTTGATGGTACATAAACGAAGACATGACCATCGACTACGGATTGAGGCGCAAGTTGCAGTAAAATTACACTACGCCTTCAATTGCTGACGGCATCACAAAGCATCGGGGACTTGTCAATGAGTGCCGGCCTTAGTAGCCGAACCCGCACCGCCGGCGGGTCTCCACTTTAGACCGGTAACTCGGGAAACTTCATGAGAGCGACAACTGCACAGTCCTCGACTTATCATGCATTGCCACGACGCACAAACCGTCCAGCGTTCAATTTCCAATCAAGTGACGCCTCGAATACCCAAAGTCATGATGGCGCAGCTGCGCTCATACGAACAGCAACTGCAGTTTGTGGCGAACCCTGAGAATTGCAGAGTGTTCATCGCCACGGAACGGCAAAAAAGAAATGGCAGAATGAGGCGAAAAGTGAGTTCAGGGGCACTACTATCATGAAGATGGAATAATCTGGAGCTTACGGCACGTGATCAAACAGTGAAGATAACTTAGGTGCGGTTGACTGCTACGCACCTCAGGCCTCCTCAGATGAAGTGGAACTCAGTGACAGCTTAATTATCTCAGATCTCTGCGATACCTCAGTAGATACGCTGGTAGATGGCCTACCAAATTATTACACTTCTAGTATCTACCACAATGCTAGTTTTCCTGAAGATTCCGAGGTTGTATTGTCAGTTTGATCTTACAGACCATGGAAGACATGAAACGTGCAGTGTGCAATGGCTTCGGCATTTTCACACCTCAGCCAGGAATGAGAAAGTCCAATAAGAATGTAGAAATGTTCTCATGTTCCAATTGTGAAAGAGGAAGGATGCTCTCGTTGGCTCTTGCCCTTTGACGAACGCATAGTATTGAGTAGGTCGAACCTCAGGTGTCAAATTCCCAGGCCTCTACCGGAATTTCTCAGTGACCGACTCCTTCTATTATTCTTCCGGTCCTTGCCGCTTCAACGGCAGCTCTTTCTTCCATCACACGCAGCTTTGCATGAGACTCTTCCTGAGTTTTCTGCATTCAGAGGCTGTCGAGGGCTGTCAACGAGGTTGGCAAATTCACGCCGGATCCCTGGAACACAGTCATCCCTTTACCACATCATCGGCAACATTTCGAGAGGCCACCAGAATTTCTCTCACACTTTGGGGAACACAATGGTCACCATGATTCGACCTATGCTTGACATGAGCAAGTAAGTGATCTCATCATTGCCGTAAAGGGTATGGCCACTGACTGTCTGTGTACAGAGTTCTCAATTCGCCGCAAATCGAATATCATGTCGGCGAAAGCGGCAAGTCATTCTCGGTTCCCAGAGCTGTAATGGAATTCCTCTCTCCAAAGCTTATGCGTATGCCGCCTTCTGGACAAGGACAGCCCAGTTCCGCTTCAATCACTCTGAGAGATATCGATGAGGCTACATTCACTCGACTGGTGGAGTACGCATATCGCCAAGACTACACGGTTCAAGTTCTCAAAGCCCGCTCCTTTGCCTCCGACGAAGTCAGCTTTTTGCCTTCACTCTATGATAAGCTCGAGCGGGGAGACGAGTATTCAGAGAGCAACCCCTTCATCCACGATTCTGGCATGAACTTCCTTCGCGAACTCAAGGGTAGCTACATAATGCTCGACAAATCGATCCACAAAGAAGCTCTCGAGGCAAAGAAACTCCCTGGCCGCAACGTTCGCTTTGACACCCTCAACGCCCACATCGCCCTTTTGAACGTGGCGCACACATACGATGTCCATCCTTTGAAGGATCTCTGCAAAGCGCACTTCCGCGAGTGTCTGCTTTTCATGCCTCTCAACAGGTACACCGTGGCTGATCTGCTCACTGTCTGGGATTCTGTTCAGCACATCGCTGACTGCGCTCCCGGCAATGAGATTCGCAAAGTCATCCTGGAATACTTTGTCGCCACTCTCCCCACTTCGAGACATCATCCGAGATTTCGGGATACGCTCGTGCAGGACGAAGCCTTCACCCGCCAACTGCTCGACAAGTTACCGAATGTAGCTCCTCCAATTGACGACTAAGGGTCTTGCGTGTTACAGACTGGAGTCTATGGGGAAAGCTTTGGGACGGTGGGAAATTATCTTCGTCACAGAAAGGGCTCGACAGAATACTAAGGCTTTTTCGGAGTTTGAGTGGTGAATAGCGTTCATAGGGACATCAAAAAAGACAACGAGTTCACGTATTCATTATCCAAAAGTGTGATGCCAATGTGTTTGACATTTTCTCTCGAATCCGTCATATCATTCTTCCTTCCTTCATAGGCCTCTGCCCACGACGCTGTTTGATAGATTGCCGAAACGATAATACCAGGAAAGAAGGCACCTCATACCACTCGAGGCCTATACCCGGCACAAAACAGCCAACGCCGGTATCTCTAGCCGATATCTTCGCCATGTAAGGTAATGCCAAGGAGGTCACCGCAAATCATCAGTGATAAGAAATGGCACTAGCACAAATCCATGTCAACGGGGGTGGGGTTACTGCGGGGTTGCGCATGGTGATAGCTTCAATGTCCGGCGCGATGTGATCCATGGGACCGAAATGTCGGGATGATACCGCGTGGCTCTCCACTTTTCCCCGACCACCCTTATCTCTTGAGGCATTTCGCCGACCATGGCACTCTCAAGACTCATGGACGGTGTCGCTATTAAAAGGTGCTGAGTATGTGGGAGTTGATCAGCTTTGCCATCTCATCGCTTGTTGGACCGCTATCACCTGTCATATTACAAGATGCTCATTTCACAAGTACTATTGGCGCTGGGTGGAGTGAGTTTAGGCTCGGCGCATTTCATAGTTCCCAACGACGACCAGGATATGTCCGGTCTCACGGTCAACTCGATCCCAGCAGCGAAACGAGTCGAGTACATGCAAAAGGTTGAACCGTCTGGGCGCTAGGTTCTTGTCTTATGCCGCCGTCCGTATGCTAATGTTCTCCAGGCGAACGAGGCGCTCTTCCGGCAAAGCGGACCGTAAGTGTCTATTTTCCATGTCGGATTCAAGTACAGTCCTGGATCTGACTTACATCCTCTCAGCTGCCCCTTTGCCGCATTTGGAACCATCATCGTAAACCATACCAGCGACGAAGTTGTCTGCGAGGGAGCAAACTTCCGAACTGGCGACCCTACTAGTACGTATTGAGAACTATGGTAATTGTAGCTACGACCTACTAAGAAAACTTCCAGTTCACGGAGAGATCTCAGCCATCAACGCATGCACAGCCAAGTTTGCTGAACAAGGCATGACGCCAACGTAAGGCCTGCAATTGACTGTTCATGAACAAGAGCTCACATTTTCGACAGGCAGATCTATGCCGCATGGGGAGAGCTATCAATATACACGAACGCCGAGTCGTGTCCGATGGTATGTGCTTCAAGTCACCAGGAAGCTGGCAGCACCGGTAACTAACAGGTTCCAGTGCGCTAGTGCAATCCGGTGGGCGGGTTTCAAAGGCAAGTTTATCCCCCATGACTGTTATTCCCGCCGAAAACTAACAACGACTTGTCAGAATACGTCTATGGGACCACAATCCAACACAACTATAACGTCGGCTGGGGTGTCATGACTCTCAGCAGTGTAAGAGCCCCTGCAACAGAAACATGTTAGGGGCATTCTTGCTGAACCAACTCATCTAGTACGACGTATTCCAGCAATCTCGCCAGCTGCCTGGCTATCAAACGTCCATGATCGGACAGATCCTCACAAACGAGACGGACCCTCTCTTCTCATGGCAGTACAACGCAAGTGCGCCTTGCCCGAACGATTGTTTTCGTGTCCCAAGCGCGACTCGAGGCGGAACGACCTGCTCCAATGTCACGGTCTCGCGAAGGGACTATGAGGCGCTGTAGATAGACAGCGGTCTAAGGACTACAAAAAGAGACTTGGAACTTTTATTGGCGATCCGACCTCAGCCGCACTAACAGCGATAGCGGTGTCATGGAATCACTGAAACGTGGCTCATCAAGTAGGGGGAGAAAAAGCATTTATCGCGGTATAGGTATCCTATCTACCTCTTTGATTGTCGTTGCTGTTCCTATTCTTCGTCTGAAAAGTATTCTCTACTGAATATATGAGAAATATCTCCTTGAAAAAATGGAGATTACGGATACAATAAGGATGAGAACTACCTATATAGTGGTAATAACAAGTAGGTAAGTGAGCATCACAATGTTTCATTAACCAGCAATTGCGAAATATACGTGTATTAGAAGGGGAAACAAGCGGAATTCGGCATGTTAGTGTTATTACGTGATAAATGGGACTGAATCTTTTAACCACGTCCAAAACAGGGAAGAACGTCCGGATACCTCCTTCCACTAATCCACCTGTTTGCGGCTCTGCAAGTTCTTAAATCCAGAAAGACTCTTAGAAGTCGACTTGAAACTTCTCCACTTCACCTCCAGCACAGCAGTCATGGAACCACCGAAGGCGACCCCCAGTCGGGTTCCGTTGTCTCTAGCAGAACGATGTGGACGTCTCCCTCACCGTTCCACAGCGGCTTCGTTCAACAGAGGTATACCTGATCTTGAAGGTCTTGAAGGGTACGTGACATTCAGTTTCGGTTCTGAACATACCACATACTTACCATTGGCCAGCGTACTCACCTCACGAGTGGTCACCTTTCGGATCGGTCCAGACCGAAAGCCATTCCAGATCCACGAGAAGCTCGTAGCGTCCCGATCAGTAGTCTTCGACCGCATGCTAGCCAACCACACGCGCGAGTCCCTCGAGGGTGTCGTCGAGATTGAAGACGTCGAGCCAGAGGTGTTCACGAGTTTTATCCAATTTGCGTTCTACGGAAACTACAACGTGACGACGTCGCACAAACTTCAAAAGGCTAAAGATCAAAAGCCCGACGACGCCAAATTGATTCCGGGAGAGACCTACGACTCCCTTCTGGAGCACGTCCTAAAATACGACTTCAGATTATCCAGCAAGCAACCGTATCTGAGATAAGTCAAACCCCCCACTTCCCGGCACCCCCCTGTTTCTGGCACCCACAAAAACGCGAAAATCCACCACAACGCAATGCCCACCCCCAACCTCCTTTTATCACAACATTTTCAATTCGAGTCCAAATGGGCTCATTTTTTGCACATACCTTCTTCTATATCTAATGCCTCAATATACCGAAGATCAGCTTCGTCAGGCTCTCGAGGACATCTCAAACGGCAAGAGTCAAAAGAGAGCCTCATTGGAGTATGGGATACCACGATCAACCCTCCAACTACGTCTCCAAGGTGGTCAGACTAGGAAAGTGGCTTTGCTGACTGGCAGAGGCTGTCTCCTGACCAGGAGTAAGCTGGCACAATGGGTTCGCATTCAGGCTTCGCTGGGCCTCGCACCAACGCACCAACAGGTGAAGGAATTCGCAGAGCGAGTTCTGGCTGCTGCTGGGGATACCAAACCATTAGGAAAGGCTGGATCTATGCCTTCGTGAGAAGGAACCCTATCATTAAGGTTCAGAGAAGTCGTTCCATCGATTCTAGACGCGTTAATGGGGCATCTACTGAGGTCATTAGGAACTGGTTTAAGTTCCTTGCTATCCCTGAGATCAAGGACATCAAACCAGCCAACAGATATAATATGGATGAGACTGGCATCCTCGAGGGTCAGGGAGCTAATGGGTTAGTGCTGGGCATGGCTGAGACGACGTCTGTTCGCAAGAAACAACCTGGGTCGAGGGCATGGGTCTCTATCATTGAGTGTATCTCAGCCTTGGGTAGGGCACTTCGTCCTCTTATCATTTTCAAGGGAAGACGGTCCAACAACAGTGGTTTCCATTACATCTGGTTCCATACGATGGGTGGGAGTTTACAGCAACAGATAATGGCTGGACTACAGACTTAACTGCCATTGAATGGTTAGAGAAGGTGTTTATCCCACAGACTATGCCCGAGGCTGAGGGCGAGGCTCGACTGTTGATTGTGGATGGGCATGGGTCATACGACGACAGACTTCATGTGAATTGCTATATTAACAATATCCATTTACTGTTCTTACCACCACACTCCTCTCATGTCCTCCAGCCACTTGACCAGTCTGTCTTCAGCCCTGTTAAGTCAGCCTATCGGAAGGAGCTCGGTTACTTGTCTCAATGGAACGACTCTACCATTATAGGTAAAAGGAACTTCCTGGACTGTTACCAGAAGGCTCGACTTGCTGGTCTATCAGTCTCGAACATCAGAAGTGGTTGGAAGTGGACTGGTCTACACCCTGTAGCGATGGTTAAGCCCTGATGAACCCTATGGTATTACCTGAGCCTTCTGCTAAGCCCACCACACCCAAACCAACCAGTCGGGGCAAAAAGCGATGCCATAATGGTCAACAAACTACCCCTGTTGAGCCATGGGATTCTGCTTCCTCTGCAGTGGTCTGGTCGACACCCAGGAAGCTGGCAGAGCTCAGCGGTCAACTGCACTTATACACCCAACTCGACAATGATACCAGCACTCAACGGCTGCTGTTCAGGAAGGTGAAAAAAGGCTTCACAGAGCAGGCCTGGCAACTGGCAGCTGCCCAGCAGCAGCTGGCTCACCTGAGGGCTCAAGTTACCAACGCTGCAGTTAGGAAGAGGAAGACTGTTCAGATCGATCCCAACACGAAGTTTGCGAACATCAGGGATATCCATCGGGCTCAAATCGAAGCGGGTGAAAAGGAGGTTATTACGGCTGAATCCAGCGACTCTGAATGCCCTAGTGAGGCTGGCAGTTGTATTGTAGTGGGTGTGGTTGAGGATCAATAGTTAATAGTAATGAGGAGGTTGGGTTGTGATCCCATCGTTTTTGTGGGTGCCAGAAACAGGGGGGTGCCAGGAAGTGGGGGGTTTGACTTACCTAACGCTTTTCATCAACCAAGGAACCCCCGGAAAGCTGTACGGCATGCCGCCCGGGTTGCCGTGGAACAAGGACGAGGAACTCGAGGCAAATTTCGACCTCATGGTCGCGAATCGCCTGTTTGGGGAAATCTGCATGCATCATGTCCGACTCTACATATTCGCCGACAGATACGACATTGCGCAGCTGAGGCAGGTGTGCCTTCACCGTCTCCACAGCTCTCTGACGCGCGCGAGACTCGGCAACCCCGGCTATCAGCTTCTGTTCGGCGTCATCGTATTTGCATTCGCCAACACGATGCCGGGAGACAAGATACGAAAACTGCTGATTCAGACGTGCGTTGCCGACTTTAGCATGGTGCGCGCGATGCCCAGCTTCACCGATCTGCTGCATCGCGTACCTGAGCTGGGGGTTGAAATCATGACTGAGCTCCCCACGTATTGGGAGGAAAGAAAGAAGGCGATCAATGATGTCAATGCAAAGTTTGCATCGGCACAACCGGACGCGACGGCGAGCAAAGAAAAGTTTTGATGAGACAGGGATAAGTGCTTCATCGAGTTATGCGAATCAACTTGCTTGCAAGAAGGATAGGAATAGGCAATTGAGGTATGGTGCGATGGTAATTGCAAGTGCTGAGCAGGAGAGGATCTTTCTCTCTAGAAGTTCATCGCAGGGAAGAAGGAAAGGCGTTCTTGAGCAATCGCATGTTTTTAAATAGCAAGCAAATTACGAAGCTGCATTCATTTGAGGAACGACTTGAACGTTGAACGTGGATTCTAGAAGAAAGCAGCTAACTTCTTTGGCCAACAGAACATGACAGTTCTGGAACATTCACATAGACAGAATACAAATCTCTTTCGAGAAGCTCTTTCCATTTGACAAACTCTTCTGCGCTCCAGCTTCTAAAATAACTCTTTGTGGAAGAGTTCTTGATGAAATTTGTTCATCCCTTGATCGAGTGTTGTGATTAAGGAGCAAAGCTAACAAGGTTTGTTGAAAGTGAGACTATCTGGAAAACAGGAAATGTTACATTCCCGTCATTTCGATGAACCTCTCAGATGCCGGGTTCCCCTGGGACGTGCCCGGTCAACGACAATCTCAATCCCCTTTTGAAGTGACCTTCACCACTCCGACGAAGCGTCCACCGATATTCCACGCGTTTCCCCTCTGACAAGATCCCTTGAATGAAGTACCGGGCCTCAAATGGCTTTAAGCATCTGGTGACTCTGATGCTCGACCTTGAAGTTCTTCCCAGTAGGTATGGGGTATCTCAAGCAGCAGTTCTACAGCATAGTCCGCAAAGTCGCGAATCAGTTCTTCAACTCCGTTTTTCATTGTGAACACCATATCCGCAACGAGGTATCGTAAAAACAGCTTGCGAAGTTTGTCCTTGGGTAACGTCTGTGCATGGAGGAATCGAAGTACGGAGCAGATGTGGCCAATCAACATGGTGTCTCCAGCCGCGTTGCACAGCTTGCGGTCCACATCATTGACGCATAACTCCTTGAGGTCCTCGATGAAGTACCTGTCGGCGAGAATGTAGAGTTCCGATGGCTTCAAGAGGTCATCCAATGTGACAGTAATCTCTGAATTCTGCCCCTCAGATTCCTCTCCCTGAACCAAATGGTCCCTGCTTGGTGAAGGCAATTTCCTGACTCCGTACTTGCAGAAGTGCTTCTTGCAAAAGTTGAAAACTGCGAGGTGTTCGTTGTTGTTCTCTAATGACATGGACTCGATCCATGTTCGTAACGACTCGTAATGGACTGTCTCTTCTCTTGCGTCTCCTCCTTCTATTAAGTCATATTCGATGTCGCTTGTGTTCCCGGGGTAGGGTATCGGGTAGGAGCCTTGGTATGCGTAATGTGAAAGGAGGCGATAGGTGGCAGGTTCGACATCGTCCCAAATAATCTTGCCCTCGAGGGCTTCTTGCGTACCGCCCGTAAGTAAAGCTTCAAGAGGCCCCGACAGATGGGCCAGAGCTCCTTCGTGGACACCGTATTCGCGCTTCGAATCGCCTTTGCCAACAACAACAGTGATCATCCGGGAGTCAAGTATCCTATGAGATGTTACCATAAATTCAATCGACCATCGACTTCGTGTATAAAAAAAAAAGAAACTTACTCGTCGATTCCTCTCTTCCGTTTGAGAGACATCGTGGCGGCTTTCGCGATGTGGTGTGTGTATGTGGTGTCGAGAGTTGGACAGACCACGAAAAGAAAGCCTCGTAGAGGTTACTTTAAAAGCAGAAGCTGAGAGGGGCCAGAATTTTGCCCCCTGCCGTGGCGAAAGGAAGAAGCTGGAGCTGACTTGTTCTTTCTTTCTGTAAGTAGAGTGAGGGCAGGTTCCAGATCCAGGTCCTCTGTACTTTCCTGTAGGATACACACACATGTGTTCTTTGTTTCTCGTCTACTTCGATGATTCTCTCGTTGAAGCATTGCGCTCCGTGTTGAGACACTGCCTAAAGAAGGTGCCTTGAGGAATGGAGGCCGCCAAAAGGTGACTGATTGGAAGCAGCCCTGTCCACAAAGAAGACAGTGTTTATCAGAAAAGACAGTCCACGTAAGAGCAGAGACATTGGGGTAAAAGATAACTGAGGTTCTTGTGTCTCGGGAGTTTAGCGATGAAAGGCTACTGGCGCCTCCGGTTTGATGTGTTTCCTGCGGCTTCTCATAAACAGCCGCGAGGCTTGGGTAGAAGGAGCTGGGATGTATGGTGTCATTGCTACATGATCACGGTCAACAAGTCAGGTACCTGATCGCTCAAAGTTTGGATTGGACATTGCTAGGCACACTCAAACGACAATCAATCCAACTTCAGATTAAAGAAGTCTATCCCTGCGTGATGATATAGTACACGCTCGAGAACTAATACAATCATTCTGATCCTTGGTATTGTGTGCTATGCTGTCTAAGGTGTCCCGGCAAGTGAAAAGCCTCGCCATGTCAGACTTCCTCTGGGTCACAGCCCCAAAGCGGTTTCTCTGGGATCCCTTTCCATCATCTTTCCATGCTCTCAAATTCCCATGTCCCGTGATCTCATTCCCCCTTCCCTCGGCAGTCCTTGCCTGGCTTCTCTCGATGCTCGAGCATACATGAAGTATGTAAGTGAGAAGAAAGTGAGCTTGACTGTAGAGGCCTCAGATTAAGGCCTGGCAAAATGAGTTGCAACGATGTCCCTTCAGTCTGTGGAGTCCTCTGTGGAGTCCAGTGCTCGCCAGTAGTGGGCAGGCGCATTGCGTAGAATAGTAACAGCGATCTCAGGGATTTCGTCTAAGACGGGCCCAAACTTGTCAATATTGAGGACGAGCGCATTTGTTAAGTTCGTTAGAACGAAGTCGATGAGAAGTGATCGAAGCTCGTCTTTGGGCAAAGTTCTAGGCCAGACGAAAAGCAAGAGCTTGCAGATGGATTCGTGGAAGCTTTCGGTTGTAGGATGCTCGTAGAGAATTCGCTGCAATTTCTCAACGCAAAGCATTGCCATCTCGACAATGGCATACTGATCAGCCAAGCAGTAAAGGCGCGCGTGGGCCATGAAATAATCCTCTGAGTGAAAGTGCAAGAGGTAATTGCCAACGTCATCCGGATCAACCCACTTTGGCAGATCTTTGAAACGATCTGGGCAGTGACTGAGTGCTGGCGCAGATACGCCATCTTTCCACTCCAGGATATCGTTTTTGACAATACGATACTCTAGTGAAAGACTAACCTCGTAGTAGTCGTACTGGTGGCCGTCGCAGTAGTCGTAGATCGTGCCCCATAGGTCGTCGTCATCGATTGTGCCCCGTCGTTCGTTGTGGTCGCGAAGAAGTAGCTCACGGCCGTATGCGTACTCAACCATTTGAGCAAAGACCTCAGGATCGACCTCATCCCAGACAAGAACACCCTCCATAGACTCCTTCATGCCGTTGGTCACGAGTGCTCGGAGTGGGCCGGAGAGGCCACTGATTGCTGCTTCATGGACATTGTATTCGACCTTGTCCTCTCCTACGATGAACTTGATGATTCTAGATTTGAGAATCCTGTATCTGTGTTAGCGATGCTACTTGGAAAGTGGAAAGACGTGAAAGATGGCGGACGTACTCGACTACGTCAATTTTTCGCATCGGCGCCATTGTGAGGCATTTCGTGACGGTGACGAACTTGTTCGGGTGATAAGAAAGCTGAGGACGAGTAAGGAATGATGAGTGAGTTGAGAATAGAGCAAAAGCGAACGCGCGTGAGGAGAGTGGAAGGAAGCGGATGTGAGTGAGATGGAAGGAAAAGTGAAGGAAAAGTGAAGTGGAAAGGGCTTGGAATCAAATGGATGTGAGTCGATTTCTCCGCCCTTCTTCCTTCCGTGCCTAATCTTCCGCAGCAACGGAAGGAGCTCCCTGAGGCGCGTTAGACGCGTTTGGTTTTTTGTTGAAGGGGTTGCCTAAGTGAGTCCTCTGAATACTCGTGAGCGAGTATCCACCCGAGACACGAAGCCCCCTATCAACCTGTGGTGTATGTAGTACCCAAGGTAAAGAAATGCGCCTACTTACGTTACCTTGTGTGGCACTGATACATCACATCATAGGCGATATCTGGCCTCTCACTCTCAGGCTGTAGTGAGGCCAAACTGCCCTTGAAGAAGCTATCTACAGGCAGTCTTTCACCATACTCAGACATACTTATGTTCGAACTGACTAGGAATGTATGAGAATGGAAGGCATCACGCTAGCTTGGGACTTCAGAATCTTGAAAAGTTATTTTATTTTAGGAGACGAGCGTCCTGGGGGTGATCACAGTCGCGATCTGGTACTATTAGATACAATTCTGGCGTCGTCTCGTCATTGTGGCATTATGATCAGGGCCCTTACTGAGGGATGCCCAACTCCTTGTAGAAGGCTTCAGTGCTAGGCTTGCGTCCAAGGAACTGCTCCAGGGTCAACATCTCCTCCTGGCTGCCACCCTTCTCCAAGACGGTGTGTCTGTAGCGGCGGCCCTCCTTGCCGTTCATGGGGTCGGCTTTGAACACGGAGTAGAACATGTCGGTGGAGTAAACTTCGGATGAGAGATAGCCGTAGTAGCCGGCATCGTAGCCGCCAATCAGGTGGCCGAAGCAGGCCTGTCCGTTGCCCCAGGTGCTGTGTCTGTTAGCCAAGTGTGATTTATAACTGGAAGGAGTTTCATACCTCTTCTCTCCCTGAGCTTCGGGGCCCTTGATACCAGCGATCTGGCCGCGAAGCTCGTTGTAGGTTGCTGACAAGTCCAACTTCTTGATGGCCTCGTGGCTCTCGGGAGTATGGACAGTCATGTCAAAGGTACCGAAGTGAAGCTGGCGGAGGTTGAACAGGGCAGCGTTGACGTGCTTGGTGGAGATCTGCTTCTCGATAAGGTCATCGGGGATCTTCTCGCCAGTCTCAAAGTGTTGAGACAGCGCCTTGATAACACTGGGGGTCCAGCACCAGTTCTCCAACATCTGTGACGGCGCCTCAACGAAATCTCTGACGGTGCTGGTACCGTGGAAACGGCTGTATGTGCAGCGGCCAGCAAGGTCGTGAATACCGTGTCCAAGCTCGTGGAAGAGCGTGACGACCTCATCGTGCTTGAGAAGTGAGGGCTTCTTGGGCGTGGGCTTGCTGAAGTTACAGACCAGGGCAGTGGCAGGGTACCTGCGCGAGCCGTTGGCTTGCAGGTAGCCGGGCTGCAAGTTAAAGTTGGCGGCGTGGCCGTACTTGCCCTGGCGAGGGTGCAGATCAAGGTACAGGTAGCCAACGAATCCTTCTCCTTCGGAAGCATCATCCCAGACACTGAAGATGATGACATCCTCGTGCCATGCGATATCCTCACCCTTGCCAGTGGGGCTCAAGGCCTTGCGGTCCTCAGGCTTCAACTCAACAAAGACGAAGCCCAGGAGCTCCTCAAAGATCTTGAGCATGCCAGCAATTGTCGAGGTGATGGGGAAGTACTCGGCAATCTTGTTCTCGTCGATGCTGTACTCCTTCTCAATCATCAATCGGTCGTAGAACTTGTGATCCCACAGGTAGTAGTTGCCGTCATTCTCAACGCCGCGGGCGTCAGTGTCGGCCTTCTTGAGCTCCTGGAGGTGCTCGACTTCCTTGGCGCCGCCGGCAGTCAGACGAGAGCGAAGGTCGCCCAAGAAGTCGTTCACAGTCTTGGTGGTCTTGGCCATCTTGTCCTCAATGCGCAGGGCAGCGTGGTTGGGGTAGCCGAGCATGCGGGCAGCCTCATCACGGAGAATGATGGCCTCCTGGAAGAGGGGAACGTTTTGGTTGCACTTGTTCTCGTTCTGGATGAAGACCTTGCGTCTCGTCTCAGGGTTCTTGGCGAACTTGAGAGTCGGGAAGAGGTCGGGATACTTGAAGGAGAGCTTGAGCTTGCCCTCGTTCTCGCCGGTGCCCTTCTCGAGGCCATCAAGAACGTCATCTGAAACACCATCGAGCTCCTCCTTTGTGAACCAGATGCCGCCGTTCTCCTCGTTGAGGTTCTTTGTGAACTCGATCTGGATTTGACTGAGACGCTTCTTGATCTCCTTGAAGCGATCACGCTGGGGCCCAGCGGGGATGCCCAGACCCATCTTGATGTAGTTCTTGTAGTCCTTCTCCAGCAACCTCAAGCTCTCGGGGTCCAGGCCCTCTGAGTCTTTGCGCTGGTGGAGAGCCTCAATGAGCTTGTAGACATCCTCCCTCATGTTCACCTCGATCGAGAACTCGTCCATAATGGTATCGGCCTGGGTCGAAGCCTCGCGTAGGGCGGCGTCGCTCGAGACATATTGGTAGAAGCCAAGGATGCGGGTCGACAGTCCGCTCTCGTTCTCGTATTTGGCGATGGGCTTCATAACATTCTCAAAGGTGGCCTTGTCGGCGGGGTAGTCGGCAACAAGCTTGTCGAGAAGGGCGCGAGTCTGGTCGCAAATCTTCTTGGAGTCGCCGACGATGGACTCCTTGGTGCCGGTGAAGACGGGAGGCGCCTGGGGCGGCGACTTGTACTTGTCGGGGACAGTCATGGCGGCGGTCACCAAGGGTCGGTATGTCGATAGAGATGGGGTGGCAACGAGGGGTAGCTGGACTGGTTTGAAGCGCAGCTGTGCAAAGAGAGAAGTAATTCTCGGGACTGCTCTTGGGGCCGCCAGGATGAGAGCTGTGAGGAGGAATATGAGAAAGAAGGTAAGGGAAAGGAGGGGACGCTTGGAGGACGCCACGGCTACCGGACGAAACACGGTTCGATCAGTCGGTGAGTTGGGTGCGTCGGGGCGGGGGAGGGGAAGGAGGATGAGCAGCTGCAGGACCCAGGTCTTGGACACGGGGCAGACGCGGATGGATGCAGGTGGAGGTGTCGATGCCGTAAGTTGGTAGGTGACAAGCGAGGTTAAGCGCGAAGGTACATGTAGCTACGCAGAGAGTGGACTGAGAGCGGTGACTTGCAGCAAGCTTCTGGTAGTTTGCGGGATGATTTGTGTATGTGTGTGTAAGTGGATGAAGGTTTACGTTAATCTTGACGAGTACGGAATGCGACGGGGTCCCCTTCTCTTTCACCTTCCAGTTGGAGGTTTCCTTGGCGGGCAGTCGCGGCCTGCCAGGGGAGCTCACGTCGAGCTCCCGGCGCTACGACGTTCCGGGCTGTAACGCCCCACGCTGAAGCAAGCGGGGTCTCGCTGATGTACCAGTACCAACAAGAGCCATGTTCTGCATCTACTATTGCAATTCGATGCGAGTCTTCGCATGTGTATTTGGTAAGAACCTCAGTACACACACAGACGATTCAGCGATTCTAGTATCAAAGAATAGAGTACTTTGACAACTGTTGGGGCGATTAAGTTGAAGGTCCTCCATCGGCTGGGAACATTCGGTACCGCAATTCTGCAGGTCCAGGATGCAGGCCACATCGCCTGACCGAAGCGAGCTTACATAAGACGACTGCACCTACCAGATTGTGTGGGGTCCTTTGTTGCTGGGCAGACGGGCCAAGGCCTGGTGCGACATCATGGCTGAGGCTGATGGATCAACATGCATAGATCGCGGAGGCCGTAGCATAGTCGTAGAGCCGCAAGGAATTGTGCTTTGCATCCAGCCCTTTTGGTGCTAATGACATGACGCAGTGAATCTATCGCGATGTCTAGTCCTCTCGTCCCAACATGCGTTTCCAAGCAGGCACAACCCCTGACCACTTCGTAAACGTCCATCTTCTGGAAGGATCGCACGCGCGATGATGTTGGTATCATGGTATTTATTTCTTTTGGTATCGGTTCTATTCAGTCCCGTACATGTGTCGTGTGGTCCGGGGCAACGCCTCTAAGCAGGCGGGGGTGAACTCCAGAATACCCAAATTCCCTACAATAGCGAACAACGCAATCGCAACGCAAAAGCAAACGCCATTTCCCATCGTGCCAGCCATGCAAGTGTCTCTTTCTTCTCTTTTCATAAACTGCCTCCGGCTCGTTCCTCTGATCTGTTCGTACAATGCTCGCTCGCTGGATGTATCTAGTTGGCGAGAATGGTTCGGACAAGCTCTGTTGCGCGGGTATCAGTAAACACAGTCTTCAATGCTTGCTGTGCAACGAGTTTGCTGAAAGGTGGTGGCTTACCAGTGTAGTTGACCTGGCCAGAGCTGGTGTCAACAGCCTTGAGAAGCTCGTCGACCTCTTCATCGGACATCTTCTCGCCGAGGTTGGTCAGGATGTACTTAAGCTGGCCGACGCCGATGAAGCCCGTCATGTCCTTGTCAAAGACCTGGAAACCGCGGCAGTACTCCTCGGGTTCACCGGGGTCGCGGAAGCCGCCGGGGCGGTTGAGAATGCGCTGGAAGGTCTCAAAGTCGACTGCGCGCGCAAACATCGCTGATCAGTATCGTGTCTCTATGCTGGTGGCATACATCGGGTTTTCGATATGCCGTGGGCGCAAGGAACAAAACTCACAGTCGCCGCCGACATTCTTCTCGAGGTCGCGGATCTCGGTCAGGGTAGGGTTCTGGCCGCAGGCGCGGAGGAGGTCACCCAAGCTATCGATGGCAACACGGCCGTTACCGCGCTTGTCGAACAGGGAGAAAGCCTCCTTGTAGTTGGTAGAAGCCTGAGCGTCGTACTGGTTAGAAGACATTGTGATATGTTTGTGTGGTTGTGATTATGCGCAAAATTGAAAGGTCGCGATGTGTGGCAGAGAGCAAGTGACGTTTCGCGGGGTGGTTGTGGAAATATCAAGAATGGGATGTAGAGGTGGAAAATCGGAAAGAAGAACGGTTGCAGGATGAGGAATGTCGTGATGCAGCCGTATGTCGAATGGTCCAGTAGTTTGCGCGGGAAAATTGGCGCTGATCTTCTTTCCTTGGCTAGCTGCGCTGGCAGTTGGTGTCCGATCCGTTGTTTGGGTTGCTCCTGTTGGCTGGTGGATGGCGCTGCTGCTGCGCTGGTGGTGGTGGTACTGCTGCTGGCAGCGTCGGGTGCTAGTAGTACTGCGTTGCTGTGTGTCGCCCTTTGCTGCAAGGTTCGCCGCTGAACCAAACCGGCGCTAAGGCTGTTTTTTGTCGGCCATCAAAGGGGTCGAAAGGGGTCGAAAGACTCGAGAGGGGGGTAGGGAGGCCGCTGAATGGCTGGATCGAATTCCTTTGTTTACATTCCGGCTGATGGTGGGAGGGGTGCCGCCGTCCGCGGGGGGAAAACACAACAAAAAAAAAAAAGCAACAGAGGGGAGGGGGCCGGATTGGAGGGACAGAGACTCACCATTTTGGTCTGTGTGAGGTGGTATGTGGTATGTACGTGGGGGAAGAGAAAGTAAACAACAGATCAAAAAGCTATTTGCCTTGGGATATCAAACAGGACGAAAAAAGAGACAGAGAAGAGTCGTGATGATGTTTCTTGGAGGTTGCTGTCTGCCAGTCGAAACACTTTATGCTTGCACTTTCCCTTTTCTTCGTCTCCTTCCCCCAGTCTGTCAGTCGGTCACCACCTTCCGCTATCTGTCATGTACCCTCAGGCTCAGTATTATTTTTATCCAATGCATCGAGTGCACACGCACCCAATTGGCCTTGGGTTCGAAGTGTCATGGGCCATGGGCATTCCCAGTCTCCGTTATTCATGCGTTTTGGGCTGGCGGTGGCAGCAGCGGTGTGCACCGGCACCCAAAACTATCGAAGGCCCCTGGAGGCGGTCTACCTATGTACCTTACCGTTTACCTACAAAAGTGCGGCAAGTACGACTGACTGTACGTGGGTGGTGCCTTCCTCCTACAAACACAGTGCGCCTCTGCAACACAAGGCCAAACTCCTGAAACCTGACGGGGCAACCACCGTCGGGGGCTCCTCTTTCCCAATCTTGCTAGGTTATCACAGCCAATCACGGCTCTCGGATGAGTTGCTGCCCCCCTTGCCTCTTTTGCCCGGTCCCAATGTCCACCTGCCCAATGGTCCACGACTCCATCTTCCAATATTCTGCCATGGCTGGAGACTTGCACAAACGCTATCGACATCTTTCATTGCGGTGAGCCGACACAACCTACACCACCTTACGTCAATCTACGGATACGGATATGTCTTTGCACTAATTCGAGTTGTGCCGAATCACGACTACCCAGACCGTCTAAACTCTCAATCGACCCAAACTTGTACGCTGCGGTTCGTCCCGACTCTTCAGACTGCCATATCAGGCTCGACCTGCGAGTAAACCCACTTCAGCTTCGGCACAAACGGAGCATTTCTCCATGATCTCTCTCTCTCGCACTTGACCCCGTCACATCCTCTCTCTGCAGGTAGAGTCCAGAAGCCGTCACTTTCTCTTGGCCAGGATGATAGTCGTCCCCCATACGGCCTCAACTTCGATCTCCCGCCACTTATCCCCCGCAGCTTTCCACTCCGGCACCGCCTCCAGCAACCGATCGAACAACAGATCCGCAATATCTCCTTCCGCCCCGCCCTCCGCCCGGCTCTTCAGCTCCGGGTGCGCGTCTTTCCACCCGCGGTACGCGCTGAAAGTGTGCACGTAACCTTCAAACTCGCCCAGCTTCATCGTCTTACGCTGCTGCCACGCTGCCCGCGGGTCTTCAGGCTCCATCACCTCCGTGTTGGCATCGGCCTGCGAAGTCTTCCTGTCCGGGTCGTACACGATGCGCTTCACCTTCTCCCACTCCGACTCGGGGGGCACAACTGCCGCCAGGTTATCCCGCAGGATCTGCCGCCCGGGCTTCTCCCAGTACGGCCCCATCGTCTCCACCCCGCTACCGGGCGACGACTCCCCCTCGCCGTAGCAAAAGTGCATAAAGATATCGTTAACCGCCGGGAAACCGACGAGAATATTGTCCTTGTACCCCCAAAATGCCAGCGTACCGCCGCTCTTGACCACTCGCGCCAGCTCTGGCCACACTTTATCGTAGTTGAACCAGTGCGCCGCCTGGCCAGCCACCACGAGGTCTACCGAGGCGTCAGCCACGAATGACAGATCCTCGGAGCTGGCCTGGCGAAAGGTGATTTTTGAGTCCGAGGTTGAGTCTGCTGCTTGCTTCACCATGCCCGCACTGGGATCAATAGCGATGACGCGAGCGAAGCTTGGACTGAGCTCTCGCGAGATGAGACCATGACCGCAGCCCAGGTCCAGCGCCGTGCCGCTGGTTGACTGACTGTTATGATACGCCAGCACCGTCCTGAAGAGTGATGCAGGGTAGGATGGGCGGAAGGCCGCATAGCCTGCGGCCGAAAAGGTTGAACGTCTGCAATCACATGTCAGCTTGAGACCGATGGCATTTGGAATTCTGCTGCCAAGATGAGTTCGCCCACGTACGCAAAAACAGACATCGTTAGCCGTGTAAGGAAGGTAAGTTATTATAGTGAAGCTGCAAGGTTGCAGTTGCTAGCCCTGGCGAGATTGGTGGGTTGGTTGATGGTCCAATAAAGACTCAATGATGTGTAATGCGTGTAGTCGCACCCGTCTCTTTGACCGAAAAGACGGCGGCCATCCTCCATTTTATTCCATGCTTCTCTCGGGCGGGATCCTTCCGACGATTCAGGGACCACGGCTATCCGGAACAAGACCGTCAAAGAAAACCTGCTATGATACATTGCCACGAGGGCATTTGGAAGCCTCACAGACTCAATCTCACATATCGAAACCCAAGCCCTGACTAAGATCCCAGAATAAGGCAGGTAGTAGCCGCGGCTCCGTGGTATGCATGGCAGACTTACAGTGGCAGGTCGCGTCATCAGCCGTGGCCCGCACGCCTCGGCCGCTCCCCAAAGGGTCCCACTGACGTGCTCGGGGGTCGGAGCTCCCAGCCTGGCCCCTCGAAACTCCATTTCAAGGTCCGAGTCGCCCGCCCGAGGAACCCCTCCATCTCCGTCCTCCTCGCTCTTCAACAACTCCCGTCGCCGCACCTCGAATACACTTTCCACAACTTGGCCCGTCCCGAAACTAGTGCCCGACATGTCGACCGAAGCTACGGCCCGTGTTTTCTTTTCGCAAAAGTTCGTTGCGGTGGTGGGTGCCAGCTCGAACCCTGCCAAGTTTGGCAATAAGAGTGCGTTGTTCCCCCGCTGCTTATTCCCGCTGGACACTTGCTTCAAGCTTGGTCTAAGCTTGAGGAGCTGTCACTCACTCATTCACTCACTCACACTCATCTCACTTGACTAATCTCACCTCACTCTCACTCTCACTCTCACTCACAGCACTCTCTTGAGATCTCCAACTTCAACCGTCACTAACATCCCTTGCAGTCTTCGCCTGGTACTTGAACCACTCCATCCCCGCCACCCCCATAAACCCGACCGCAAGCACCGTCAACGCCCTCGGAAAAGACCATCCGGCCCTCCCCAACCTCACGGCCCTACCTCACCCCAAGGACACCGCCGTCTCCATCATCACCCCGCCGCCAGCGACACTCAAGGTCCTGCAAGAGGCGAAAGAGCTAGGCGTGCCTGCCGTCTGGCTGCAGCCGGGCACCTTTGACGACGCGGTGCTCGAATACGCGCGCGGCGAGGGCGGCTTCGAGGCCGTTGTTGCCGGGTTCGGGGGCGGTACCCGCGGCGGGGAAGGGTGGTGCGTTCTGGTTGATGGTGAGAGGGCGATGAAGGCTGCGGGGAAGCTTTGATCGGCCTGGAGGTTTGTCCGATTGACTCGTGATATAAATCGTGGACCGTTCTAGAGTATTGGGAATGAGGGCCTGCTGAACGAGGGGTTCCTGAGATGAGATGCTGTTACGAGATGAATGAATACTAGTTTCCTACCAAAAAGGGTCACCAGCGACCCCAATGCGAGACTATAGAAGCAAACTATACTTGGGTTCTGTTGATCCATGTACTAGACTCTGGGGTCCTTGGTTCGTCTTCATGGATTCCCCATCGTGAGAGATGCCGCGTTGGCGATCTCGTGCCGAGATAGCTCCGTCCTGGTCCGTCTTTAAAGTTGTGACGGGCGCATCTTCTGCATCGTTTGGACCGGCATTCGCTGAAGGTCACACCACCCCTCCATCCATCTTCCAAATTCAAATCTCCAACCCTTCTGATGCATCGACAGGACGATCGCTCTTGGGATCTTGGGTTGCTTCATGGTACGGACACAACTCCCCTCAAAATCGAGTCAAGGGCTGTGCTGCCAAGTCTGGGGTAACGGGTAGCGTATAATGCCGGGGCCGCATCTGCCGCCCTCCCCCTCCTTCTCTGCCCCCCGACAACGCCTCCCAATTGAGCCTCAAGTGACTCCATCATGACATGTACATTTATCGATTCTAAGCCCCATGCCAAGTTCCGTGGGTGGCCGGGTTGCAAGGACCATTAGCCCAGTCTGACTGTCAAGTTTCGGGGTGTTGAACAGTCTTCTTCTCAGACCAACTCAACTCATCTTTTCAGGTCCAGCATCCCATCTCTCCCCGACTCCCAACTAAACTTCCCAAGCCCCTTTGTTCATTCTCACTGTCCTTTTCCGTCGTGCCGTGAGTTATGGGGCATCTCAACGGAGTAGGCAATAACTCTGAACATGCAATGATGGAACGCACACGCCTCATCCGCTACCCCGACGCTCCCCATCCCATTGACCCGTCACACCCCCTAGTCTATAGTCAGATAGCGACAAAGTGTGGTGAGGTGTAGAGCTTTCCCCGCAATACCTCTAGCCTGCCCCACACGAGCTGAAGCTTCCCTTCCCCCCTCGTCCTCCATCATAGGTCTCCCCCAAAACTCAAACCAAACCAAGCCCAGCTTCCCCTTTTCGGAATACTAAACGACTAAGGTACGCTCTTGAGTCTTGACTCTCGACGTGGTAGATCATGGATAGTACTGGACCGGGGGCAGGAAAGCAAACGACGGACGTAATTCCTAGGCGCTACTGCAAGACCGGTCAGATAAAACTGTTGTTCGCTCCCGTCAAGCCAAGGAGACTTCGCGGCTATCCTTCCTTATTCCCAGACTACATCCATGTGCCGCTCAATGCCGGAGTAGGTTTGTGTGATTGTTCCCCATCCACGCTATTCTGCATACCAGAGTCAGAAAACTTCCGTTCCTCCATGTCGTTCATTCGTCCGCCCGTTGATTCGTTGGTTTCCGTTGGCATTTGCGGTTCCGCATCCTTACCCCAGCTTTTCGCCCAGGTCCTGCCCATTGACGAACTCGTTTCCATTCCCACCCCCAACTTCCAACAAGCGCCGCCACCGGTGGTTCTCCCTTGCCTCCACGCGAGATTGTTCGAGTAAGCCTCAACTGGGGCAAGGTAAGGTATTGACTCGCTCAGAGCCTTAGACACACATGCCCCAGAGGCCGTGAGCTCGACACGTCCAGCAGTGACACGCCTTAAACCTCAAACGCTCAGTTCTGCATCCGCGCGAACCCTTGACGACTCACCAGTGTGATGTGACGGGAGCCCTGGGCAGGCGTGGCAGGCGTGGCAGGCGTGGCAGGCGTGGCAGGTCTTGCCGTTTCCTCTTCTCCTCAGCCCCAAATGTGTTCAACTGAGACATTGACGGGTTGACTCTTCCCAGACCGCGTGCCTTCACACCCTCACCTGGGGAAAGGAGACGGAAAGACACAGAGACGTTGTTGGTCCAAGACAGGACGCAACGCTCCATAGAAAGCAAGCAAGCAAGCATCTTGCCTTTTGCCCCCAGCTTTCTACCAAAACCATGTTCAATCCCCAAACGTGCTGTCCCCCCAATCCGATATCCTCCCCAGTGGTCTACCTCCATACGGATACCTCGTTCGAACCATGCTTTCTGCGGCAGCGAGCTTCCAACGAATCATCCTCGTGGATCCTGCATCATGCCCACCCTCCAGATTGCAGCCAACCCATCCATCCCTTGTCCCGAATCCTGGGGTATCCGTCTGCCGGTCGTCCTAGCCCCAAAGTGGGTTCGGTCGATGTGGAGGAGCCTCTTGCCTTCTTGCCCACTTGGCCTCCTCACGGACGCGTTTGTGTCGTCGGTCGTCGGTCGTTGAGAGAGATCTACCTCTAGATAACCCAGTCGTGGTCCTCGTAAACCCCGGTATTCCGTTTTGACGTGTGGGCGACCGGGGGGGAGTCGGGGGAAGAGGAGGAGGGGGGGCGTGGGAGAGTGGTGATGATGGGAAAAGACTATCCGACTCAACCGTCCTGCCAGCAGGGCTCCCAAGGTGCCAAGATGGCCCCGGTCCGTTGCTAAACCCCCCCAGTCTTTGCTTTTTTACGTCTTGGAAACGCTCTTTAGGGTGTGGATGAGAGACACTGAGAGAGAACGCGACAGATTGAAAGGAGATGTGTGTGTGGAGGACTAGACCCGTTACGGCCGGCCTGGATCTTTATACATCTAATGGCCCAGTTCCCTCCTCTCGAAACACCATCTGCGTTCAGTCTTGGTTGTCATTCCTGTCGTCTCTTATTTCCTCCGTTCATCCAAAGAACATAGTGTACCATCTGTATCATTATCCCTTTCCTCAATTGCTCTGTCAATTCCTTTGATACCCCTCTGCCATCTTAATCAACCTCCACAGACGAAACAATGGATAACAAGGAAGACATCCATGAAGTCAACTCCCATTCCCACCACAACGAGCACCGCCGCCCGTCGGACCCTCACCAGCGCGTCGACAGCCACCATCGTCGTGTGCCCAATGGCGGCGGCTACAATGGCGAGTACCCAGAGGACGAGTACATGGCGCCCCATGCCAGCCGCGACGACGCACTCAAGAGGATGAGAACGGCCGGGTCAATCTCCATGTCGCCCGAGCTGTTTGAGAAGCTGTATCTTTCACCGCAGAATAACGTCAAGGGGGATCTGCGCAAGACCTTTGGTAACCCGACTCCGATGTAAGAGAATCTCATACCTTGGTCGACGATCATGGGTGAAGGCGTGTTGGCTGACACTTATACAGCGCCATTGTTGGATTCCTCATCTCACTGACGCCTCTTGCTTGTGACTTGATGGGTTGGAGAGGAGCTGGCGGAAGCGGTGCGGCAGGCATGTAAGTCATCCCACAACACTCCCCCCTCATCAGGACGCCTCTCAAACTCACACGTTTTCCTCCACAGCGGCTCATACTTCTTCTTCGGCGGTCTCCTCATGTTCGTAGGCGGCCTCCTCGAATGGGTCCTCGGCAACACCTTCCCCTCTGTCGTCTTCCTTACCTTCTCCTCCTTCTGGTTCACTTTTGGCGCGACTCTGAACCCCTCCTTTGCCGCCTTCTCATCGTACGCACCCGCGAACGCGACGTCTGGGGCCGAAGGTTTGACGACGCAAGGGTTCAATGCTAGTTTCGGTCAGTCACTGCCTCTTGCCCCTTTTCTTACGTCTCGATGGACTTGAACTGACACAGGTTACTTTGACAGGCTTCATCACACTCGCGATGGGCATGATCTGCGTTGTATTCCTCATCTGCTCGCTCCGCACCAATATTGTCTTCTTCCTCATCTTCTTGACGCTCGTTGCTGCGTTCGGGTTGATTACGGCCGCGTATTGGTTCCTTGCCATGGATTACACTGGCAATGCTGCCTACGCCGCAAAACTCCTCCAGGTAAGTCTTGAGGGTATGGGATGTGTGAGGAACTAAAACAGTACTGATACCATCTTGTAGGCTGCCGGTGCTTTCGCGTTCGTGACTTGTGCCGCTGGTTGGTGGCTCATCTTCGCTATCCTCTTGGCATCGCTCGACTTCCCCTTGGAACTTCCCGTTGGAGACCTGAGCAGAGTGATTCGTGGAAAGAGCGAAAAGAGCCAAGTTTAAAGGTTCTCCTTCAAAACTGATATCTAGAGGTGCTGGCGCAGGAGGGCAAGTCGTGTTTGTCCGTGATGTTATCTCGTCAGCAACATTTATGCGTGGAGGATGATGAACTTTATACTCTGATGTCTTGAGTCACATGTGATTTAGTCTTCACACATGGAACAGCTGTAACAATGCATGCCAAATATTTAATTCATGCCCGAATCCACTCCGTCAATCTCCAGTGCCCCGGTCCTGACTAGATGCGTAACGAAGACTGCAACTCCTGTCCGTCCCTCTTTCCCTTCTCTAGCACGACCCCGCAACGAATTGAAAACAACATCAGATATGTTCTGAATGGTCATTATCCTATCTCCGCTTCATGTAATCCTCGTCCGCCTTGTTGCTCAATGTTGAACCTAGTCTTCCTATTCTTCAGCTGCTGGTTCGCTAGGACCCTCACTCAACTCCTTCCAGTAGCTGTGGGGAATCTCGTCGAGCAAGTCAAGCCCAAATTCAGGCGTGATTCTTCGTAGTTCCTTGAACCTCTTACCGGTATCGATCCAAGTCATGTTGGCGAGGAAGTACCGCGTGATAAGCCTCCGTAATGAGTCCCCATGGACTGTCCATGAATAGATGATCGGCACGGATTCGAAAAGGACGGTCTTCAATTGTAAGGTCCCGGGACACTCCGATAGGAAATGTCGGATCCTAGCCAGGCACATCTTCTTGAGATCTTCGATGGCGTACTTGTCAGCGAGAAAGTAAAGCTGAACGTGGTGCATGTACATTGGCCTCAGGTGTTCAACATGCCGGCAAGCTTTCTCGAACGCCTCAATGCCGGTAAACTTCTTCAGAATAGCCTGAGTCTGGTCCATAGGCGGTGGCTTTTCATCGCGGCCCTTCCCATGGAAAAAAAATCTCATTTACAAAGTGGTGTTGTGAGCCTCTGTGTTCGGTAGCCCAGAAGTATCCTTGCATTGAAGGGGGCAAGTTCTTGGGTGCGTCGCCATCCTCAGGAGCCTCATTCTCTTTCGTAGGCAGAGCTTTGGATTCCGGCAGTGAATAGTCACCTCGGCAGGCGAATTGTGCCAGCAGGACGAAAGTGATTGGATCAGTATCGTCCCAGATGACATTGCACTCCCTGGACTCTTGAAAGCCTCCCGTCAGGAGGGCGCGTAGGGGCGGCGAAAGATTGGCGAAGCGGGCTTCGGGGACGCTGTATTCTATCTTCTCCGGACCGACAATGAACTTGATGTCCCTTAGACTTCATCGCTCTGGGCCATATGTTAGCAAGCCTAGGTTTAAGGGGAAGGTGGCGGGGTTGCATATACTCATCCAAGTCCTCGAAGGTGTCGAATCGTTTCCGTTCGCCAAGCATATCTGCGAGGTGAGGTGTGCTTCGCAATTTTGACTGGCGTTTGCAAAGGATGCTTGATAAATTTGGAGAGTATGAGACAGGAATAGTAATGATATATTTCTGCTCAAGAAGCCTCCTGCTGCACAAAGGTTGTTGACCGGGGGTTCGGGTTGGCGAGTGGAGGTTTGCAATAGGAGGGTGCAGTATGGGCGTGGCTAGACGATTTAGGATCCTGATATCCGGCTTCTTCTCTTTTGAGCGGCAAAAGAATTGACTGGGTCAGTAGAAGCTACCGTGGGTGAAAACCTCAGTCGCTCCTTCCTAGATGTCTTCCATTGCGGAATACACGTGATAACATCAAGTTACCAAGCAAGGCAGTACGATACCCAGGCGGACTCAACCTACTCCGTCGACGACACTGGTAACATCCAAAAATCTTCTCAAAGCCCAAGATGTCGGAAAGCAAACCTCTGTTACTACCTAAGACCTCTGACTCTCAAGATGCGTAGCCTTACCTTACCTTGGCCCTTCAAAGAGGAAGTACCCGGTCGTTTGATTGTCAAGGACATGGCTCGCCTTACCTGGAGCGATCAGACAAAGAATGACCTAACAGCTAGTATTTGGCTGGTAATTATTTTGGCAAATGAATATTCCATTAAAGACTTCCTTCGAAAAAATATTTTTTCTCATTTTTGGTACTCCAATAAATGCAACGGGCCGGCCCGCATCATTCTTTGTTGTTGAAGGCCCTCCTAGGCGGACTTTATTCTACAAATACTCCCTCAACCTCCTACTCAGATGATTACTGAACATATCGACGCCGCAGGCAATACTTGGCCGAGAAGCTTCGATTTCCAGAACTGATCCAGGTAAACGTCCGTGCCTGCGGCGACATGCCAGCGTTCGGATCTGCCCCACAGATCTACGAACGGTGAAAGCCAAGTCCGTTAATCTAGAATGGCGGGGGGAGTGCGTGGCATCGCCGAGAGCCGCAAAATGTCGACGTTTCTACGTGGCCGACTTGCCGGATAGTCAGGAGAACCCCCTTAATTCATCATGTATATAAATCGTCTTTGTCGTCAAGGATCCATGACTCGGCAGCTCACTACTGATGACACTTGTTCTTGGCCATATCTTCAGCTATGTCTCTCCTCACTAAGGCCGCCGTCATTGCTTGCATTTTACCTGCTCTCGCGCAAGGTAGCAAGATTCCTCTTGCTATGCGACAGACCCTCAACACGACTTGCGCTGACATCCACTATTTTGAGGCTCGAGGCACAACGTTGTCCTACCCCGGAAGCTTGATCACGGTCATTGACCCGCTCATGGAGGCCTTTCCCAACAGCAACTATGAAGATATTGTCTACCCGGCCACGGACGAGTCTGGAAGCGACAGCTACTTTGTTGGAGTTCGCGATGGCGCCAAGCAGATCATCTCTTACGCAGAGGCTTGCCCTGAATCCAAGATCGTCTTAATGGGATATTCTCAGGGTGCTATGGTTCTTGGAGATATCTTGGCTGGCGGTGGTGATGGCAACATCCTGGGCAATTACACCAAGCCTCTGGTCGATGCTCGCACTGTCGGAGACCACAGTAAGGCTAACTATAAAGTTTGGTTTAAGAGTAACCTGCTGACATCGTTGTCCAGTCGCGGCGATCTTGCTGTACGGCAACCCCCGACACATGCCGAATCAGACCTACAATGTTGGCAACGCTTCCACGTTTGGTGCCACAGGCGTAAGTTTCAACCTCGTTGAGAAAAGCTTTGGATGGCTATTGTGACTAACGCTGTTCGCAGAAATATCCTCGTACCGCTGGACAACTTGCTTCCTTCAACGTCTACGCCGACAGAGTCCACGACTACTGTAATTACCAGGACGGAGTCTGCGATGCTAGCGGCAGCAACCTCACCGCGCACATGGCGTATCCGTCGGATTACGACACCCAAGCAGTTGCCTGGTTGGAGTCTAAACTCCAGTGATGCTGAGAAGCATTCCAGACTTTGCCGAAATCTCATCTATTTGAGTATAGAGGATGCCCAGAAGCCGCTTGTCACTTACCGAAAACCCAGAAGGGAGAGATAGGCAGCAGCCGGGAATTCTTCTGGCCCTTGAAATATGTTATTATGATGAGTTCATAGCTTGTTGTAAGCAAAACAAAGTCGTAGATGCTGATGGGTAGAGTCTAAGACCGAAGATGTAATTGATGGTCGAGGATATTTCCGAGTTCTGTAATTTTTGCTTCGGATCATTTATATACACCAGATAAAGCTCAATTGAAAATCGCTGAGCCCGTCTGTTTCACATGGTCTGCGATATAGGAGGAATTCATGAGTGTGGTGAAGCCCGAAGTAAATCCCACGAGGCAGGCCCCAAAATATTTCACGTTCCTTCCAAATCCCCACTTCCACCACCTTCCTCCAAAGTTGGTTTACTCTCCCGCTTGCCTTCCCTCACCCAACCCTCGATTCAAGCAACCACAATATTCCTTGAGATTCATCAGTCTCAAGCTTCTTCAAATTACTTTTTCTTCCCTCACCTCCAGCCCCCCAACTTTTCTTCCGCCTCAACGAGCTCGTGACCGAGCTTTAGCTCTGCAATAACATCGATCCTCACAATGTCGCTGAAGCGCAAGCGTGACATGAATCAGTTGGGTTTCCTTCACTTGGACGTGTTTAAACCAAGTAAAGCTGACATGAAAGTCTAGGATCTTTCGATCTAGGACAATTACGTTCATCATCAGCAAAGATGAGACAGAATACACAGGCCACGAATCCGCATTCTTAGCAATGTCCCAATCTTTCAAAGATTTCGTCAGACGAAACATAAGGACTACATTTAAAATAGTCGGCGGAAACCAAGTCGGGGGTGTCTCACATTGCGTAGAGTGGGAAGATATTGAGCCGGCTAGTTTTGTCAATTTGATGGAGTACGCCTATTCCGGCGACTACGCGGTGCCTGCCCTGTCCAAGTCCAAGACGGATGACACCTCCAACGCAGTCAAGGGCGGCCACAGCAGCCATGATACACCTGGTACAGAGCGCGATGGTGGCGACGTTAAAGTCGACACGCCAGCCAGTACAAGACCGTCGACAGCGAAGAGACTTGTGCCCCCGCGTCTCGGGATGGGAGCTACCCGTACTCGACGAAATGCCCCGCAGCCTGAGATATCATCCCTGTACACATGGATCAGGAACGTCTCTCAAGGTCCGCAGTGTCAGCAACATACAAGCGCTCAGTATAAGTTCTGCGAGGAACACTTTCCCATTCCCCTTGAAGCGACCGAGTCAACTACTGAAGAATGGCTCGAGGACATCAAGTTACAACACCAGACAGGCTACAAGGAAGTCTTCCTCGCACACGCGAAGCTTTATCTCGTAGCAAATCAGTTCGAGATTGTTGAACTCAAAAGACTTTGCTTGCACAAGCTTCGCCAGAATCTGTTGCATGCCCCAGGCACCGACGAGATGCTGCGAGGCACGACCGATACGATTAGGCACGTTTACTCGAACACCATATCCCGAGATGATGATCTCAGAAAACTGCTTCTGCAATTCTGTCTCACCGATATGGAGTGGATGATGAGGGACAAGGATCTGGAACCAGTGCTGGAGAGTGTCCCTGGTTTCGCCATTGACCTGTTTCGCGTAATTCCTCATGATTACTGGAGAGAGATCAGAGATGGGGGGGCTGCCTGAGAGGCATAAGCGAGTATATGGGGAACAGGACACGATTGATGGCGTATTCCCGAGAAAGGGGTCGAGCGTGCCTCACTATCATGACGAACTTTTCATCGTGGTCAATGTCGAAAATATGCAGGGCAAAGTTGTTTGACCTCGGGGAACGGATTTCTCAGAGTGCGGTAGTTCAGGAAGAGGTACGAAAATAGAAGTTTGTAAGAGCAATTTCAGGCCACAAAAAAACACGCCACTAGAACCTGCCCTGGATAAAATGTTCATGGACAGTCCATAGCGAAGTAAAAGGTAATTTACGGAGTACCTTGCGTTTGCTTTCTTAGTTGAAGTCGGACATGGGGGCTGATTGATGACTAACACAGTGTGGCTGAGAGCCCTGCCACAAAACGGACAGGGCGATGATGAGCCACACCCCGCCGGACCCACCAGCTAGCAACGGAAACAGAGGTTGAATGTAAACAAACGCGATCGGGATGGCCAATACAGTTTGGTGTCTGCCGCACCAAACTCCAATCTTTTGGTTTGCTCAACTCCGATTCTGTTGCAACACTCCCGCAACCGACGATTGAAAAACATTGCTCCCCTCGATATTTTCTTTCGACCATTCCTACTCTTCGAAGACCGACGCGACCACATCTCAACCTATTGTGACCCAATGCATTCTAGCCGCGAATAATATTTCCTCCCTGCGATCGACGCGTCCGTCCTATACATCTCTCTGGCGCAGCTGTTCGCGCCTCAGATCGCGACCAGCTTTACTTTGCACAATTTCTGAGCTTCACAGGTGTTAGAACGCCAGAGATAGCCCAGCATGACAGAGAACTTGGCCTTTGAGGGTTTAGTCCCGAATGAATACTTCACACAAGATGGCCGCTTGGGCTCTTTTCATCAAGTCTACCCTGCACCAAAGCGTCGTCAATCAGGCGCGACCAAAGGCGGGAAAAACCTCACATGGCCGCACATGAAATACTTGCTGCCAGAAGATGTATGTCTGCAGTCGGAAGAGCTTAGCAGAAGACGACGCGTGTACTAACTTGCCGCAGCTCGCGAAAGCAGGTTTCGTCTGGCGGCCGTTCCCCGAAAACCCCGATAACGTCGCATGCTTCCTCTGCAACAAATCTCTCGATGGCTGGGAAGAGGGTGATAAGCCCCTCGAAGAGCACTTGAAGCACTCTCCCGAATGCGGGTGGGCCATTGTCGCGGGTATCGAAGCCAACCTCAACGGTCTGTCATCCGAAGACCCTTCTAGTACTCGAATGATCGCGGCCAGAAAGGCGACTTTTGATGGACGTTGGCCGCACGAGGGAAAGAGAGGCTGGAAGAACAAGATCAAACAGGTCAGTCATGGAACTTTGACCCTACCTTCCTCTGCTGACTAGCTCTTAGCTCGCCGAAGCAGGGTGGAAATACACGCCTTCCCTCGAGTACAATGATATGGCAACCTGCACCTACTGCGAGCTTGCTTTGGACGGTTGGGAACAAAACGACAAGCCTATGTACGTCCCCTCAGTGTCGCGTTCGCAAGCATTATCTAATCCAATTATAGGGACGAACACTTCAACCGATCCCCCAACTGCCCGTACTTCGCTTTAGTAAATCAATACGCTTCCACGAGAAAGCCGAAGGGCAAGGCCGCCCGAGGCTCAAAGAACACATCGAGGCTATCCGTGCAATCAGTCGCGACATCGATTTCCGACATCACATCCATAACAGACGTTCCTGCGGAGTTCGATGACAGCGTTTTGACAACGACCTCCACAATGGGCGGCAAGAAAGGTACCCGTGCCAAGAAGGCCACCACGACAAAAGGCAGAAAGACCAAGGCAAAGAAGGATGAGCCTGTGGAAGTTGTCGAGGATGAGGCCATGCCGGAAGAAGACATTGCGCTACCCCCATCGAAGCCTACCCGAGGGCGCAAGCGCACGAGCGAAGAGGTGGATGATTCGGCGCTCACAGTCTCTGAGGCACCTGCACCAAAGAAGCGTGGAGGACGCGGTCGCCCCAAAGCTGCTGCTGACAGCTCGACCATCGAACAATCACAACAGGACATTAGCATTGCCGATGCACCGCCGCCGACGAAGGCAACAAAAGGCCGCAAGACTGCACGTGCGTCTGGAACGAAGGGAACACGGAAAGCCTCGGGGACTTCACAGAGGTCAAACGCATCAATGGCGTCCCTGCGAACTGCACCCGGCGCATTCCCCGAGGACGACGATGAGATTACCAGGCAGCTCGAGGCTGACCTGGAGCGTCCGCTGACGGACGACGAGGATATCATGCAAGATTCCGATTCGGAACGAAAGAAAGCTCCTGCCCCCAAGGCAAAGTCAAAGAAGAGCCACTCGGGCAAGGAGTCTGCCGGCAGCCCTGAGCCGTCAGACAACCATGAGATGTTCGACGCGGAACCGTACGTGGCAGACGAAAAGGATGTTGACGACGAATTGAAGCAACTGGAGGCCGAAATGACTATCGATGAGCCTGAGGTTCTGGAAGTTCCCAAAAAGGGGCGCAAGGCTGCGGCTCCCCGCAAGGTGTCTAAGCAGACCAAGGCTCAGAAGGCCAAGGCCGCGAAAGTGGTCGTTGAAGAAGACGAGCTAGTGGTCCCAGCAGAGCCCAGCCGCCTCGAACAGCCTGCTGACATTGAAGAGGATGAGATTAGCACTGCCACGGTGATCACGACAAAGCCTGCTCGCGCAAGCACTGGGAGGAAACGCGGACGCCCTTCAAAGGCGTCATTGGCGGCGCGTGCATCTATGGAAAGCGCTGGCAAGGTTGAAGAGATGGAAGCTATCGAGCCGGAGGCTGCAGCTGCTACTGCTGGAGTCGAGCCGGAACCTGAAGCCCAGGTTGAGCCTGAAGCTGAGATGGAGACTGAGGCCGAGGACGCGTCAGCGCGTCAGTCTTTTGCTTCGGCACGGCAAACGCCAGCACCAGTGGAGCCTCAAGACGAGCCTGAAGAGGAACACGAGGAGCTAGAGGAACCAGAGCAAGAGCTCCCCGATGAGCTTGCAGACGAGCCGGAAGAGGAAGAAGAGTCCGAGTTGGAGCAAGTAGACGAGCTTGGGCCTGAGCTTGAGTCTGAGGCACCTGAGCCCACACCAAGGAGCGCACTGAAGACGAGCTCCCCGCCACCGCTATCATCGCCCGTTCTCACCTCATCTGCTCGCCGGAGTGTGCAACATCAATCAGGCACTCCACGTATCTCTCCTGCCCAGTCTGCTCGCCAGGCGGCTGTTTCGCCCTCGCCATCTCCGCAGTCTTCAGATGCCGAGAACCAGCCTCCGTCTTCAAGACCTTCGACAACTCAAAAGCGGGTGACACATGCGCCTATTTCATCAACCCCAGCAAGACCTAACTCGCCGACCAAGCGCAAAGCTTTGGCAAGTCTTCAAAGCACCACGCCCTGGAACCCCGTTGATATTGACCTCGTCTTCGGATCCCCTGAAAAGTCGGACAAGAGGAACCCAGTCGACAGGCTTCTTCACAAAGGCAGCGAGCTGACAAGCCCTGAGATGCGCATGACAGTGGAGGAGTGGATTCACCACAACGCCAACCAGGCCGAATCGAAGCTGCGACAAGAGTGCGAGGCTATGGTTAGCAAGTTCGAGAGCGAGGGGAGCAAGGCGATGAACGTCTTGGAGGGCTTGATTGTAGATTGAGTGTTTGCATAGCGTAGTTTCGTTGGGAGCACCATTCAAAGGTTAATGATTGGACTATGATCATGATACAACAACAGACAACAATTGTGTGCGCTTACCAACAGGCTCAGTCGGCTGTTGGTAATTGGATTGGTGCAAGGCAGCAAGGTTGAATAACGACACTTTCAACCGCCTTGGGAACATAAGAGGCAATGATTGGCTCTCGAGCATTTACACATGAAAGGAGAACTGCAAGGGGGAGCGTTTTGTTCTGACAGGCAATTGTCATTATTATTATTGATTTTTAAATAATGAGGGTGTTTGATCTAATCTATGTTCATTAAGAAATCCCCTCTTAAAAATTGTTGTTTGGAATGTTTCCTCGTTCGTCTAATTCATGATCCCAGTGGTATCGTTTCCGAAATGTCGATGTTTCATTACTTGCTCACTTCACCCACTACTGTCCTTCACTTCGTTTTAATGTTGCCTTTTCTCAAACACAACTGCGTCGCCTCTGCGAGGAGCACGACTTAGGTGCAGTGCTGAACGCCGTCAGCGTGGGTGTGGCACTCCTGAGGAGCACTGGAGGTCGCCGCGGCGGTGGTGGTAGCGGCGCCAGCAGCAGCGGTAGTCGTAGGCGTAGCATCTTGGTCGTGGTCCTCCTCCTCGAGCTCGCCGGGGCATCCGACGCCGGGAGCAGCGATGTCGTAGGCCCAGACGTCAATGGCGAAGTACTGCAGCGCGTCGCTATCGACGACGGAGTAGGTGGCGTTGTTCTTTGCGAGCTCAAGTGCCTCGGCGTAGTCTTCGGCGTAGTGCTCGACGGCGCCCTCGGAGATGAGGGGCACGTGGAAGACGCGGTGGAGGAGGTCGGTGGCCCAGAAGGTGTTGAGCTTGGAGTTGGCGACGTTGTAGCCCAGGCCGCAGACGGAAGTCAGGGGGCGGCGGATCTCAAAGGAGAGGGGGCAGATGACGGTCTCCTGGGAGGCGTTGGCGCCGCGCCAGTGACCCGCCCAGCCGGACTGGGTGGCGCAGTTGCGGTCCGGGTCGTCGCAGCGGAAGGTCATGCCGTTCTTGTCGGCGTTGACGACGCGGTCGTACCAGCCGACGGGGGTGGCGGTGGACGAGTTGCCAAAGTACTTGCGGACGTGCTCGGAGCTGTTGCCGAAGCGGAGGATGTGGTCGCGGGCGTGGGCGGCGAGCTGCTGGGCCTCGGCGAGGCCGACCTCGAGCTGGGCGCGGAGGGTTGAGTTGCAGGACTGGTGGATGGGGAAGGTCTTTTGCCAGCCGGCGGACCAGTCGTAGGGGACTTGCGGGGTGGAGGCCGGGGCCGCGGGGACGGAGACGGTCTCGGAGGTGGGGGAGGAGGCCTGGCGGCGCGCGAGGGGAGTCGCGTCCGTGAGGGCGGAGAGCAGCAGGGCTGCAGAGGCGAGGCTGTACTTCATATTGACTGGTGTGTTTTGAGGCTGAAAAGCTTGAAAGTGCTATGGTGGACGGACTGATGAAAGTCTTGTTGAATATGAGCTTGAGCTTTGGACTTGGAGCTTAGGAAACAGCTTGAAGAAAGGAGCTTGATCTTAAAGAATGCGAGGTATGTGATGGTCTTTTATATCTGCAAGCTCGCCATGTGCATGAGAATTTTCTCTGTCGGTCCCATCGCCTCGGGTCTCCAATGGTGCTCGAGAGGCTCTTCGAGATGTCGAGCCAAGACCTGCTAGCCATGCTATGCTTGCTTGCCTGGGCAGATTCGTTGCTCATGTCCACAAGTAGGCAAATCCTTCCATCCTAGCCAGGTTGTAAAGTCCGTTGGGCATGTGCCACCCCGTCTGGTTGCCCTCTTCCTCCGAATTCTGCGTTCGTCGCCAGCCATCTCTGCTGCTCGTTGCAGTTGGATAATCCCTCCATCTTGCCCGGTTCCCCTCTCGTCGTATGCTCGTCAACAAGCTTCTTTGATGAAAAGGATCCAATATTACGCCAGTGGAGCCCATGTCGTCGGTCACGATTGCCTTCTTAGAACACTCTTGGCCATGCGTGAGGTATTAGTCGGGTGTCGCCAAGGCGTGGGCAGCTCTGTGCCAAGCTCACGATCACCTTGATGTTCTTGAGGTCGATTGGCCAATGGACCACATGGCGAATGGCAAGTCTCGGTCGTAGAGACTCGACTCCACGGCCAAGAAGTGCTAAGTCGTGTTGGCTCGTGAATTCGCTGACGTTGGGGCGGACTTTTACAGCTGGAAGCTGAGTCGCCCGGTGGCCATCCGGGTTCTCGGACCCCCGCTCGACTCGGAGGACATCAAGGTGTCGGAACCGGGGTCCGGCATAGACCCGCTTTTTGTTTTGTTTTCGTTCTCTTGTTTCCCGCCCCGCCTCGGTCGTCTGCTCTTCTTGTTTGCAATTGTTGGGCTTTTGTTCAGCTTGTGGGCTACATGCTTGTCAACTTTGTCTAACAACTGACAAGTGTAACCCTACATGTTCCTCTCCCCTCCCTCTACACAAGATCAGCCACGCGATGTGATCAAGACATCACTCTCATGGACCGCGGAGACCCCGAGACAGTCCATTAGCACTTCCAGCCGCTTGGTAATACTAGTATCTAAGTGGCTACGTTGTGGCATGCGCGAATAGCGTTGGCGGATGTAACTCTATTGCGTAAAGTAGGCGTCGAACACCTGCAGGACCTTGCTTCCGTCGCGGGGGTTCCCGTTGTTCTGTCGTTGGTCGTGGTCCAGGAGCGCGGTTTTCGCCTTCAACACTTCATGGCTGCGGCCGGTTCTTGCCTTGAGGGATTTATGAATTCCTTGGGCAGGGTATGCGACGAGTCCGAACATTGCTAGCCACGCCGCCGGGTTAGCTTAGACCGAAAACTCTTGCCAAACTTGATCTGCTCTAGGTGAAATCAGTCAAGGTTTGTTTGCTTACCAGCTCCTGGCTTGAGAATAAGGCCGAAGGACCCCGTGGCAACTCCCTTTGCTAGACCAAGAGCACCTCCTTCCTTCGCGCCTTTGTAGGGATCGGTGAAGACACCCGTCAGTCCGTCATAGAATCCGGTTCCAAAGGTCTGAGTGCACGTCAGCCGTGGTCTTGGATGATCTCATCTGATAACTAAGCTTACCTTTGCGGCTACAGCTCCTCCGCTCTTCCAGTCTTCTACCTTGCCATTGTCTCGTACCCTGTCGCCGTACAGACTGGGAGCGTTGTGCAGGCCTTCTGTGATGGCAAGCGGCATACTCACGAGACCGCCCTTGACGATCGCTCCAGACATGGAGGCGAATCCCTTACCGACGGCCATTGCGGCTGCACCGCTTGCTGGGCCAGCCTCGTGACCAGAGGCGCGGGAACGCTTGTACTCCTTCCATGGATCAATGAAGGTGCCGCCTAGAGCGACGGTGAAGTCGGTGACGGTGCCCAGGAGTGAAGAGGCACCCCCGGTGATGGGATCCCATCGTTTCACATCGGTGTCGTATTCTTTCGTTCGTAGAGGCTTCAAGTCAGACATCTTCATCTTCTTCGCAACGATCAGAGCTGATGCTGCTTGGTTCGAAAGCCTCATCCGCTTGGTGCCCGTTTTGGACTGCGTTTCAAACAGCCAGGCGGCGCGCTGACCAGCAATCAGATCACAGCCGAGATCGCTGGCAGGAATATTACGATGGAACGATGCTGTGGCGGTATCGACGCCGCGTTCTTGCCGCATGGCGCTGGCTACTTCTTGGACCGCACGACGTGCTTCGGGCGATAGACAATACTGAATAGCCTCCACGAGCTTCTACGTGTGGAGCTCCTTTTGAGGAATCGGTAAGGGTCCTGCTCCTGACTTTGCAATGACCCGACCCCAAAACGGCTGGTCGCCGAAGAACGGCACAATGATAGTCGGTCGCGCGTTGATCAGACCACAAGCTGTCGTTCCAGCTCCTCCATGATGCACCACGGCTGACACTCGTTTGAATAGCCACTCATGTGGACAATCTCCGAGATAGAACACGCTGTCTGTGTTTGACTTCCCCTCGCCGAGCTTGCTCCATCCTCGCGAAATGATGACACGGATGCCGCAAATACCTGCGGCCTCGAGAATTACGTCTGTCAAACGTCCTGGGTCATCGACAACGATACTACCGAACCCAACATACAACGGAGGCGGACCGGCTGAAAGAAAGGCGTCTAAGTCGGCAGGTGGCTTGTAGGATGGCTCGTCGCGCATGAAGAAGCCGCAAACGTCAATCTCAGGACCCCAATCGGCAGGCTTAGGAACCACGGCCGGCGACCAGCAGTATGTGTGCGGGATTTTGAGAAACGTTGTCACGCCTGGTCCCATGCTGGCGGGAATCGGCGCGAGCTGGAGATCTTTCCTTCGCCAGCTGTTGATGACATCGCCCAGACCCTGCCAGGTCATCAACTCTACGACGCCATACGACAGCCAATTGGTGACCTGTGGCTCCAGGTCCTTGCTGCGTTGGATATTTGCTAGCGGGTGAGGGAAAGCACGAGTTGCTGTCCAGGGCATGGTGAACATGATGTGGGCTGGAATCCCGAGGGCTTGCGCACAATGTACATGGGCGAAGCTTGGGGGGTTCGCGATGATGGCGTCGGCTACGAACGGTCGGTTGCTGATGGGATCGGGATCAATGCAGGAACGCCAGCATCCGTGGAGCATTTCGCGTATCATTCGTCGTTTCTTCCCCACGTCGCCGCCCTTAAGAGACTCCATAGAGGGAATCAGACCAGGATTTCGGACCATGTACTTGATATCCGTCAGTGGCAAGCGCAGGAAATGGGAGATTCAAGGAGGAAACGCAAGACTTACCGACATCAAGTCGGCGGGATCTCCGCCAATCGGGAAGAATTCTAAGCCAGAGTCGGTCACGAATTTGGCAAAGGTGTCATGCGTGGCTAGGCGAACCCGATGGCCGTAACGGCGGAGAGCTGTGCCAAGTGCTATGAATGGCTGAACGTCACCTGGTTACACTGGCATTAGTAGGCAGCATCCACAAGTCAAGCTTCACGGCCATTTACCGTGAGGAACTCACCGCGGCTACCCACAACCTGTATCACGACGTTCAGGAAGGGTACGGGCTTGAGGTTGATGTTCGACAACGCAGTATCCTCGGCTGCGGGGAACGGGGGAAGCTGCTCCCACAGCTCCACTGGGTTCTGCGACTGAAAGTTGATGTTCACATGGCCGTCAGCTGCTTGAAGGTCAGTCCCAAGTACGGAGTATGCAAAAGGGCATGCTATTCTGACACTGTATTGCAGCCTCGCTAGACAACAGCGCCCCGGTGGAGTGCAGCTCGTATGGAGGAGGGACGTTGCAGAGAGATTCGGCGTCCTCCGTCTCGGCAGTCGCCAAACTTCTTTTCGAGTCTATGATAGACATGTTTTCCGTAATTGGCAAAGCGGCAGTTGCAGTAATGGACAATCAGAGTATGATGCGAAAGGGCATCGATGAATTTATACGACATCATTGAAGATCCGCGCCGAAAACAGTAGATTTGACGATGGACTCAGGTTTGCGTAAGCGGCGCTGAAGCGGAGTTTTCTCTACATCGCCGGAACGCCGTTTGAGGCTGATGCCGGACCGCAGCATGTTAGTGGCTCGCATTGTACGCGTGTTCGCTCTTTCTCGTTCTTTACAAGCAAAGCTGGTGTTGGAATTCCACCGTTTCGGCATTGCCGTTGGTGAGAACCCATCGCGCTGCGAATAGTGCGGATAGTGACGTGGGTTTTCCGAGTTTACGAGGTGCTCGCAATGCTCGGGTTCTAATGATGAATGAGACGAAGTTGCGATGCTTTCGTATCAGTTTCGGGTGACGGATCTCCACTTGGAGGTAAACAGCCACATTTTCCATCAGCCACACATCGAGAGAAAAACCAGCCACTACTTGTGTAGCAAGTGGCTCGTGCAGTGGCTGAGCTCACGTGGCGGTTGATGACTGATCATAGATGAGGATGATGCTTAATTCTTTTCTCTCCTTTTGAGGACCTCGGAAGTAAAATCATTGTGCAAGAACCACTAGGTAGAACTCGTGTATCCATAGTACGGAGACCCCACGGACGCGGCTTGGCATGGCATTGACAGCATGACTGACATGACATGACTGACATGACATGACTGACCCTTGACACGCCAAGTTGGCGTGTAAGACGTTAATCGACAGGGCTGTTTAAGGTTTCGCGGACCAAAACTCTAGGGAATGAGCCGCTAAATATAATCAGACGAAGCAACGCAGGTACCACTCGGGCGGGACGAACACGTCGTTGAGAACCACTTTCACCGTGGTTTCCACGTTGAATAAGGACAATCTCCCAATCTCTCCGCTGGACTGATTGATCATCACAAGAACGGTTTATTCGATCTCACTGAATCAGCAAGGCAATCCCATCATGGCTAACGAAGCAACACCAACCGCCATTTTGTGGGACTGGGATCAGTCAGATCTCACAGCAGCCATCGAGGACATGCGACGACTGGTGGGCAACGTATCACATCTTGCCGCCACCAAAGACGTCACACTGCGCGGTGTCAGGGCGGCGAAGGATTCTCAGGCCGCATTACTTGCAAAAAGTCTCACTTCAAGCGATAAAGCTACAATCAAATCGTGGATCACTGAGTCCCGCCTGCCGACCGAACGAACTGAGGCACTCTTACAGGAACCAGAGGTTTCGCTCGCACATAACACCGCCATCCTGTTATCGCGGCTCCCAGCTCTCAAGACGCTTGAGGTGCAGACCTATGACCGGAACGACCACGACGAATGGACACAATCCCGCCCACCCGGGGATGGTTTCTTGAATCTTTTGAGCCAATTAGTCGCTTCGAACTCTATTGCAGGCTCTTCTTTCAGCAATGTGGAAATAATCAAGGTTTTAGTTCCAACCCCTGACGGAGATTCAGCAAACGAGTTCAACTTTTACGTCTACGCTGAGAATATTCTCCCCTTCTTTTACCTTCCGCAAGTTCGAACTCTTGAGCTTCATCGAGTGGAAGATGGAGGGCAATCAATCATCTGGCCTGCTCCTCATCCGAAGCCATCTGCAGCTACACTGGAAGAGCTGGTTCTGAGCAGATGCCAGCTCTCCGAGGAGAACGTTGGCCAACTCTTGCAAGCTTCCCCGAATCTCAAGACATTCCGTTGCGAATACGTTATTGACGCTGAGTACGCGTCTGACTGGGTAGACTTGGAGGCACTGAGGAGTTCGCTCGACACACTGAAAGCATCACTCGAAGAGCTCTCCTTTGCTCTGACGCTATGGACGTCCACGGCCATCGATTGCGGCGAAGTCGGGCCCTGGGGAATCCGCGGCTCATTCGCGTCACTCAAGGACTTCTCGCGACTAACTCGTCTCTCCATCTCTCTACCGGTACTCCTCGGCTGGGAAACAAAAGGCTCGTCAAAGCTGGTGGATGTACTCCCCGAGGGCCTCCAGGCTTTGACTATCACCAACGAAATGTTCTTCTGGTGGCATTATCGATGGGACGACCTCGATTGGGAGGAAGATGACCCGGTGGTTCCCATGTGGCAGTCACTTGAGGCCAAGATTGTCGAGTATCTGGACAGCCGGCCCCGACACTTGAAGGAACTGAAGTTGGAGATTTCAATGGTTGGCGAGGAGCAACGGGCAGAGGAGATGAAGGCCAACTTGATCGGCAAAGGATCTGAAGCTGGAATAACTGTCACCGTAGAGTTGAAGCCATAGATAGGCAAGGGTCTTAGAGGCTTGTCACTGTAAAAATCTGATTCTGATACCAAGAGATTCACCGTGTCTGCCTTTTCTTTCTGCATCGATATTTACAACAGTGTGCCTGAAGCCAACATCACCGGTGACATCACAAGATGGGACAAGTGTTTGAACTAATGAAATATTTTGACTGTAGACTAAGTGATATCTCTAGACCAACTAGAAGAAGGAAAGGCTCAAGTTCGTTGGTCAAATTTCCCCCGCAACAACCGTCATTATTATCCACGCAACCTCTGCACGCGTCTAGCACGGGCATCCATCACCGCCACCACAAGCATTGCAATCAGAGTGGTGCTGGAAATTGCAAACAAACACACCAAGACCGCTCGCGCCACCCAAGCAGTTCAAGCACTTAAGCGCAGCAGCCTGACAGTTCGGCAGCACGCCGGGAATCGTCTCAGGCATAGACGGAGTGCTCGGGACAGGAACAGCGCAACCAGCAGCCTCGGTGGCACCAAACTCCTTGTCGCCGACAGTCGCGGCGTTGTCCTCGGCCAGACGCCACATGACGAGGTTAGCAATCACGGCGTGGCCGCCGGGACGCGGGTGGAACACTCTCTTGATCTCGTCGCCGATGAAGTCAGAGACCTCAATGTTGTTGCGGCCCCTGAAGGCCGGGTCCGCGGCGCTGTTGTCGGCGAGGGAGATGACGAGGCTTGAGTTGCGCTTGCGCGCTTCCGTGATTTGGTCGGCGATGTATTGCTCCATTGACGGCGACGCAGCCGTGCCCTGGCGGACTTCCAGGACGGGTGTCTTTGTGTTAGACTTGGTGGTTTGTCTGCGAGGGAACGAGCTCCAGATTTGTCCAGCGCGCTTAGAGAGGATGGACAAGAGGCCCAGCTTGCTACTGCGCATCTCCAGAGATGAATCAACGTCGCCAATCGTGGGGGTCGCACGAGGAAGCATCTGGTCGTTGTTGAAAGATGCGACCTCGGGCTCACGTCTCGCGAGGGTGGTATCGTCGTTCTTGCTAGACCACTCGAAGAAGAGAAGACCATCACGGTTTCCGTTGGGCTCCTTGGTGGCACCCTCGCAGAAACGGCCCTGAAGCACGGAGAAGTACTGGTTGTAGTCGACAAATTCGAACGAGGCACCGGCTCTCCTAACCGCGGCCTCGATAACGTTGTTGACGGCGGTCGTGAGCTCGTTCATTAGCGTTCTGCGCTCAGTGGTGAGCTTCTGCTTGTTAGCGCTGTTGAACCAGAACGACCAGCTGACGTCGTCGCAGGCAGTTGTGGTGTTGTCAAAGAAGTTGGCGTAGCCCGTGACGTAAATCTTGCGGCCCGGGTTGATCTTGTTCTTAAGACCAGCGTACAGCTTGTCCAAGTTGCCTGGCAGAGTATCTCGGATGAGGTTCAGCGTTGCCTGCATCTCGTCGGGGCAGTTGGCAAAGGGGTTCCACTGGAAGATGCAAGCATTGAGGATGCTGGTCAGGCCGACGTCGTTGCCGCCGGCGCTGACGGTGATGATGTCGTAGCCGGTACCCAGCGCGGAGACCTGGTTGGCAAGGATCTCGGGGGCGGTGGCGCCAGAGCAGGCAAGAAACTCGAACTGAGCAGACTCGGGCATGAGTTCGTGGGATTGCATGTAGGCTGGGTACGACTGGTCGTAACGAGCGCAGGTGGTTGAGCTGTTGGGATACGGCGAACCGGAGCCAATGCCGGCGGAGCTATTCAAGACAATCAAATTAGAATGATGAGCGCTGGCCATCTGGTTGGAGGGGAACTCACTAAGAATCACCAATAGCAGCCCACTTCTTCACCCATGAGAGGTCATAAGGGTCTGCGGGAGCAGGCTGGGCGGTATCCCAGCCCTGATCGCAGAAGCAGGTACCTCTGTTAGATAGGCAGGTTAGTTACCATTGACATTGTTGGATCATGTGAAGAGACTCCAACTTACCCTTCACCACACCATGCGCCACCACGGTCGGTGCCACATTTTGTGAGGCAAGGTGATTGATCAGGGCAGCTGTAAACACATGTGTCTTGAACAATCTCCCTGGAACGATGTTAGTGCTTGTAGAAGACGTGCTATAACATGGTATACTCACTCAGCAAACTTCTGAACCTTGAGGCAACGATGAGGTGCGGTAGAATCTTTCAGGCACTGGTCAAAGTTGGCCGTGCTGCACTGGTCGATAGCTCCAAAGACCTCCTCGGCCGTTGAGTCGCTCTGAGCAAGTGCGAGCCCGGCAAGGAGCCCGAGACTCAATGTGTAAGCCTTCATGTTTGGCTAAGAACAAAAAAGAGTGACTTTGAAATCAGAAGCGCAGGTTGATGCTGAATGAGTGGAATGGCTTGCTCAAATCCCCAAACAAACCCATCAACGACACGGCGGTGGTTGCATGACTATAACTGCTGTTGCAGCATGAACCATTCGCAACTTGTCTCCGCGCCAAGCGGGCTGCAATGTATGATGGATCTGGAACATCTCAAAGTGCCTTAGTCTCTATTCCCTTAATTAACTCTAAGCGTCTTGTCGTGGCGGTGCGTACCGGTGCTCGGGCCGAAGAGCGAGTCAGTGTCGTCAGGTATCGTACGGGCACTCGCCGACTACATACGGAATACGGACATCATAAATGAAGCAAAGGCCCTCGGCAGCCCCGGGCGTATCATATTTCTGCTCGTTATTTCCTTTTACTTTGCTGCCCGCAACAGCGCCGTGGCGGTTGAGATTGATTTTGAGTTTTACGGTTTTACCGCCTTGCCGGCAACCGCGCGCGCCAAGATCAAGGCTGTCACAACATGAGACGAAACTCCTCCGCCCCAAGAGCCAAGGCCACCAAGATAACCGGGCATACCGTCGTGATTACCTGCCCACTGATATGTATACTCGTATATCTAATAAGCTATACTCTTCTTGTCAATCGGTCTGCCCACACGTGGATTTCGCTCCCAGCGTCGCCTACAACCGCCGCGGGCGCCGACTCTAATTAGCCTTACTGTTCCTTAAACTCTATCTCCCTTAACGTACTAGATCGGTTCCGTCGGGCAAGTATTTCCACTCCGACGCCGGTTTTGGGGGCTATTATTGGTATGGGTTTGACTTCGACCTTTAATCAACGTCAGGCGAACTAATGGCCCTGGCCAACTCTTGCTGGGATGTTGAGAAAGCTGTCAAATTACTGCCAAGAAACAGTTTAGTTTACAAGTCAGTCACAGAGTTCGGAGCAGTTGTTCGTAAGTCCATCTGACAAATAACTTAACTATGTCATGGGCAACTCAGCCCGGTTTCTGAAGGTAAGTCAAACCCCCCACTTCCCGGCACCCCCCTGTTTCTGGCACCCACAAAAACGCGAAAATCCACCACAACGCAATGCCCACCCCCAACCTCCTTTTATCACAACATTTTCAATTCGAGTCCAAATGGGCTCATTTTTTGCACATACCTTCTTCTATATCTAATGCCTCAATATACCGAAGATCAGCTTCGTCAGGCTCTCGAGGACATCTCAAACGGCAAGAGTCAAAAGAGAGCCTCATTGGAGTATGGGATACCACGATCAACCCTCCAACTACGTCTCCAAGGTGGTCAGACTAGGAAAGTGGCTTTGCTGACTGGCAGAGGCTGTCTCCTGACCAGGAGAGTAAGCTGGCACAATGGGTTCGCATTCAGGCTTCGCTGGGCCTCGCACCAACGCACCAACAGGTGAAGGAATTCGCAGAGCGAGTTCTGGCTGCTGCTGGGGATACCAAACCATTAGGAAAAGGCTGGATCTATGCCTTCGTGAGAAGGAACCCTATCATTAAGGTTCAGAGAAGTCGTTCCATCGATTCTAGACGCGTTAATGGGGCATCTACTGAGGTCATTAGGAACTGGTTTAAGTTCCTTGCTATCCCTGAGATCAAGGACATCAAACCAGCCAACAGATATAATATGGATGAGACTGGCATCCTCGAGGGTCAGGGAGCTAATGGGTTAGTGCTGGGCATGGCTGAGACGACGTCTGTTCGCAAGAAACAACCTGGGTCGAGGGCATGGGTCTCTATCATTGAGTGTATCTCAGCCTTGGGTAGGGCACTTCGTCCTCTTATCATTTTCAAGGGAAGACGGTCCAACAACAGTGGTTTCCATTACATCTGGTTCCATACGATGGGTGGGAGTTTACAGCAACAGATAATGGCTGGACTACAGACTTAACTGCCATTGAATGGTTAGAGAAGGTGTTTATCCCACAGACTATGCCCGAGGCTGAGGGCGAGGCTCGACTGTTGATTGTGGATGGGCATGGGAGTCATACGACGACAGACTTCATGTGGAATTGCTATATTAACAATATCCATTTACTGTTCTTACCACCACACTCCTCTCATGTCCTCCAGCCACTTGACCAGTCTGTCTTCAGCCCTGTTAAGTCAGCCTATCGGAAGGAGCTCGGTTACTTGTCTCAATGGAACGACTCTACCATTATAGGTAAAAGGAACTTCCTGGACTGTTACCAGAAGGCTCGACTTGCTGGTCTATCAGTCTCGAACATCAGAAGTGGTTGGAAGTGGACTGGTCTACACCCTGTAGCGATGGTTAAGCCCCTGATGAACCCTATGGTATTACCTGAGCCTTCTGCTAAGCCCACCACACCCAAACCAACCAGTCGGGGCAAAAGCGATGCCATAATGGTCAACAAACTACCCCTGTTGAGCCATGGGATTCTGCTTCCTCTGCAGTGGTCTGGTCGACACCAGGAAGCTGGCAGAGCTCAGCGGTCAACTGCACTTATACACCCAACTCGACAATGATACCAGCACTCAACGGCTGCTGTTCAGGAAGGTGAAAAAGGCTTCACAGAGCAGGCCTGGCAACTGGCAGCTGCCCAGCAGCTGGCTCACCTGAGGCTCAAGTTACCAACGCTGCAGTTAGGAAGAGGAAGACTGTTCAGATCGATCCCAACACGAAGTTTGCGAACATCAGGGATATCCATCGGGCTCAAATCGAAGCGGGTGAAAAGGAGGTTATTACGGCTGAATCCAG